TGAGTTTCCTTATCTGGACTGGCAATGAGGCATTCGTCTAAGTATGCGTATACAAAGTCGAGACAGCGAAATACTTCATCGATGAAGCGTTGGAATGTTTGGGCCACATTCCGGAGGCCGAATGGCATACGTAGGAATTCGAAAAGTCCAAAAGGTGTGATGATAGCCGTTTTCGAATATCTTCCGTTGCCATCGGGATTTGGTTATACGCTTTAACCAAGACGACTTATGAGAATATAGATGCTCCAGACAACGTTGCCGTCAAGTCGTGGATGTGAGGCAAAGAGTAGCAATCAGGGGTTGTTTTGGCGTTCACTCGCCGGTAATCACCAGTGGGTCGCCAATCGTTACTATCCTTTTTCGGTACCATATGCAATGGGGATGCCCATGGACTATTCGATGGCCGAATGATGCCAAGGGTAAGCATATGATCGAATTCTCAGTTTGTCAGGGGCCAGTCGTCGTGCTTTAGATGTCACGGGCTGTCCTGAGGTTATGATGTGGTGCACAACACTGCTGGTTATGCACGGGAGATCGTTAGATGGGCAATTCAGTTCCGGATATTTGTCAAAAATCGGTTGAAAAGTTGGATCGAGGATTGCTTTCATCTTTATGATTGACAAGCTGGGGCCTATGTAGGTGATGCCTTTTATAGACAGACTAGTAGTGTTGTCAGATAGTCGTTTACGGCGGACGTCTACGAGCGAATCATGATGATTAAGTAGGTCCGTGCCAATGGTGGGCATTGTGACGTCAGCGATAAGGAAAATCCACTGAATAGGTTTGCGTAAACCTACGTTCAGATAGACGTATTTCCGACCATAGGTTGCAATTGGTTTTCCATTTGCAAACTGTAAGTTGAAGTTAGGTTCCTTCTATCTATCTGCTGCTGTAGCAGGAAGGACGCTGACTTCGGCGCCTGTGTCATCTAGATATCTAGTCCGGCTCATTACATCATGGATGTAAAGTAGGCGGCTAGTGCCACCGGCGACGGTTGCCGCTAACGCGTGCCGGCGGGATAGTTTCCCACAGACTTGGAGGCTTTGCCGAAATCACAAGGTTTTCGACAACATTTCGCCTCCTTGCCATAGGTGTTGTGATACCAACACCAGTCAGGATTTTTGAGAGAGCGTGTGTAAGACTTAGATCGTCCACGTGCGTTTTGCCGTTGAGGGGATTTGGAACGACGGTAGGAGGAATTGCTAGGCTTGTTTGACCTAAGCATCTGCTGGACGGAGTTGATTAACTCTATCATTGCAGAATCCTTCTTCGAAGTCTGTTCGGTAATTGAGTATACTTCGGTAACTGGCCGTTTCGTTATCTCTAGAATTCTATCTGCAGAGACAGCTAAGTCATCTATGAGAAAACCCTGAAGTGTCACAAGTACAGTCTGAACTGACTGTGGCAGTTTGGATAAAAATAGTTCTCTGAACAGTCCTTCGTCGAAGTGATTTTGGCCAATGATCTCTTTCATCTTGCCAGCATGCTCACGGCTGACTGATGCCCTAACTCGATGTTACGAAATAATTCGTCCAGACGTTGTCGATCCGTGAGAACGTTTCCCTTGAGGAGGGATGCTTTGAGCAACTCGTACGACTTACTTACCTCTGGACCCGACATCTGCAGAGTTCCGCACCTGCTGAATTCCCGCGGTAGGGCGTCAATAACTGCAAGGAACTGTGAACGTTGATCGGTTACGCCATGCTGACAAAAATCAGACTCAGCTATCTGAAACCACGTTTCAGCATTATCTGGCCAACATGGCACGAGCTGAATTGTTTTGGCGATTGAGTTTATGCGAATAACCTTGGGGCTAGGATCACTCATGTCGAAATGTATGCCGATTACAAAAAAGTACAAGAACAAACACAAAAAGTAACGAACTCACCGGGTTTATCTGCGTGTATACTGAAGATGAAGTTCGAGGTCGGGCTCACCAGTTTAGAGGCTGCAGGTATCGACGTTCGCGAACTGTACGGATCATACTAACGCAAGATCTTATACCAACTACTTCTATAGTGTTCGCACTTCGGGTACCAAAGATAAAGCAAAAAACCGGATTTAGCCGTCCAAAGCACGCAATATATTTCGGGACCAAATCGCGGGTAGAAGTGAATGCTTAGCTAGCTAGTAATCGTGCACGCACGTGACACGACGGAGTACCAAATGGCGGGGATGCTTGACCGGAAGCCTTCAGCTAAACAAGTCGACTTAAACAGTGAGGTTCAGCATCCAATGTTGAGTGATGATTGCTGTGGTTAATAATTTTGGGGAATTATTTACCGCTACAGGCTTTTGACCTCACTCTACCATCACTCACAGATGCTGTTGAAGTCACTGAGTCAATGTTATTTAGGACTTTAATGTTACTGACAATAATAAGTTTTCAATTTGGGCTTCACGGAGATTTTGTCGAGAGTTATACTGTTCTTTCACTAGAGGTATAAAAACACTGATGAAACGGATAAACGAGATATAATGGTTTCACCTTATTTATCACCATTATGAATAGTAGATAGTCTAAAACGATGGGCATTGTGGAAACGACGGCAATACTGAACAAATCTCAGTCTGTTCTTTCAAACTTGCAAACAAATATGTCGACGTACACTTACAGAAATCGCTTTGATTTGATTTCATTTGAAGCCCAAAAGATAGAATACGAAATCTGTCAAATGATGAAGTAAGAGGGCTTTAGGTAACCACACAAATATTTTTCAATTATGAAATGCTGGTAAATCACGCAGTGTCATACAGCATTATTAAATGATGACGTTTCGAACACAAACTATTGCTCATAATCATATCAAGTCACTCACTCACAGGTAAAAAGTTGTGTGAGTGGCTTGATACGATTATGGGCAATAATTTGTGTTCACGTCATCAGTTAATATTACTGTATAACACTGTGATTTATCAAAATAAAATCTTATCTATAATGCAGTTACACTCTACCACAGTGCTGAAGTTTTATACTTGTATGAAATGCCGTGATGATCAGTGGACTGGTTGAAGCTTTCAGTCCCACCATCAACAGATGAAAATATGCTGAGCAAGTCCATTCACTGAGAGTTTCAAGAACTCACAAAACATAAACACGGAAAGGCAGTGCTACAAATGGCAAGAGCTCCGCAATTAGGGTTCCTGAAGTGCGATAATGTGAGACGATCTGTTTCGAACCACTGTAAAAATGCCCTATGAAACATCCCGGTTCATCTCATCACCAGGTAAAATGAACTGTGTTTTCTTCCATTGTCAGCAGCGACAGTTGACAAAACATGAAACACAGTTTACCTGTGCTCTAATTTCCCTATTATAAAAGACTCTGAGGCTTCTATAGAGTGACCATATAAGACAATATCTTAACATAATAGATAAACTTAAAAGAGCGCATCTTAGCCTCGATTTAACTTTGTCTTGTGTGAAAAGACTACTGTCAGTGTGCAGTAAGTGGAAGTGTGCTTAGTTATGGATATTAAAGCTGATGCAAACTCCCGAAACTACCATTGATATAAAGACAAAACTTGGGCATTGTGATAGAGTATAACTCCGTTATATATATGTATATAAATGAAACAAGAAAGTTGTGTCAGCACCTTGGTATGATTTTATTATTCCTTCACGTTCCCGGTGGAACATAGGGCCTCAAGCTAAGTGCTTGAAGTTTCGGTAGTAGTGGTTTTTATTTTTACAGGATGGGGTTGCTAGCCTCGGCCAGGGATCGAACTCCAGACCACATGAGGCGTGGTTGGTGAGCATTCTACCGCTCTGCCACCGACGCACTTGGTATGATTATGCGAAATAATCCGCGCTCGAAACGCCATCAGTTAATATTACTGTATAACAATGTGTGATTCTATTAAAGTAAAATTTTATCCACAATGGAGCCCCGAGACTGCACTGATATAGGCTAGTACTGGCTGCTTTTTCCTCATTTGGCTCGCAAAGTCATCTAAATGGAAAGAGTTCACCAGAAAGCCAGTTGTGTTGTGAAATCGATCTCTGCAATTTAGAGAAGTCACTGCAGGATTTGAGTGTAATTATTATCACCATTTAACAATTACCTTACGTGCCAAATGAAATTTCCTGTGGTCCTTTTCACAAAAGTCTTAAAAACATGACCACGAGTAAAAGTCAATAACGATGCTCAAGAGGTGAGATAATGCCAAGGAATTATGTTTGGCAGAAGGATCTTTAATAAAAGTATATACATTTCATACGATGCAAAAGTTTTTAACTACATGGGTAGTTCCGATCCTCAATACACAGACTGCAAGCTTCACGTAGATCTCCTGACAGAGGAGAAAAACAAATGGACTAAGTAAATAAGTAGCGTCTCCAAAGCTTGCGATACACCAAAATTCATGCATGATAAGCCGGTGAATGTTACACTAGGGCTGATCCTAAGGTCCATAAAGCTTAGTGAAATCCCACACTGTCACCAATAGTCCACTTATCCTTAACACAGACAAACATCTTGTAACGAAAAGAACCCAGTTCGACTAACTGGCAGTCAGGAAAGACCGAGACATTGAGTAGAAATACTGTGTCCTATCTAATCATTTCAATCAAACAATTTTTGAGGATTGGAAACATTTATTTCCCGATACGAATTTAAAACAAGCTTGTTTTAAATTTTTGAGGAATCTTTACCTTTCATCCTATTGTTATTCCTAATGTTCTCATGGTTGCTGTCTTATTTTTACTGCAATACTGCATTATTGCTGAGATGATTTCACTATTATTACTTAATGCGATGAAATCGTTGACTGCCCGGCAAAAGAACTGTCCGGTTTTATAACTAGTACAAACTTCCCTTCGGACATCATTAAACAAATATTGCTCCTATAAGACGACAAGATATACACCATACAGGTGACAATACCATTGGAAACGAAGACTAAGAACTACCCTCTAGAGCAAAAGAGGTGGACAAGAAAAATCAGTCTAGTCTATACTTGCCTTTCATGTGGGTATTGTATATTGAATGTTACCATAACACCAACTCTAGCGGCAACATAAAGTGGAAAGATGATGCCTCCAAACGTTTCACTCATTAAATATGATAGTCCAATACTTATTACTAAAAATCTAGATAAAAAGTCGCCGGGAGTAAGTGTAAATCTAACTGAATCCTGAATCTTCGTTAGGCTGCTGCAATTAAAGGCACTCAACAAATTACTGACACTTCTGGAATCCCCTGCCCCCCACCCAAAGGCAAACCATGCATGAGTGATAACAAAGCAAATCAACAAACTGAAGAGATACTGAACTCCATTCTTCCTCCCAGGTAACATATATTGTTATAATCCAACACTGCCAGGGAATGGAGTGAAAACGGCCAACTATGGATTCAGCACGTTTCAAGTACACCAGCCACACGACTTGATGTCGTTAATCTTCAGGAAGAGCTTGACAGGCGACTTCAACAGCGGCAGGCTAGAGAAACCGGTATATGCCCGGTTCGTAGAGAGCTGTATAATCAAGTATTTCTGAGATTTTGGCACAACTAATATTTTCAGGTTTTCGATGAGCTTATAAGACAAGTAACCATCAACTGTGCCGAACGTGGCTTGCTTCTTCTTCGTGTCCGTGATGAAATAAGAATGACCATAGCGGCTTATCAAACTTTATATGAATCAAGTGTAGCATTCGGGATGCGCAAAGCTCTCCAGTCTGAACAAGGGAAGGCAGATATGGAACGAACAGTAAGATAAAATCAATTATTTTTCCCAGAATACGTTTTATGGTGTGATCATAAAATGATGTAGGAAGAGCCTAAAAGGGTTTGTAGCGGCAGGTAATTCCCCAGAATTATTGGCCACAGCATTCATCACTGAACATCTGACGCTGACCCTCACTGTTTAAGTCGATTTGTTTAGCTGAAGGCTTACAGCAAAGCATCCATTCCATTTGGCATGCCGTCGCGTTAAGTTCGTTCGCTTGTGCACGATCCCTAGCTGGTTAAGCAATCATCTCGCACTCCGATTTGGCCCTGAAATATACTTCGTAATTTCAGATTCAAATGATAAGGATAGAAGGCTCTTGTTGCTTATGTTAATCCTTGCGATATATATATCTGCAGAGATCCAGTTTCTCTTTGAAAGCGTTCACCGATGGAGCTGTTACTGCTGTATCAGGTAAGGCATTCCAGTCGTTGACGATTTTGAGCGCTGGAAACTACCAGCACACCTAGTGCTTTGAGTGAGACTTAACTGCAGAATGAGAAATACAAAAAAACCCAGAGAACCATGATCTGTAATCACTTTTTTAGAAACTTTGTGATTCGTATAAATCCTTTATTCTGGTTCGTTCCTGAAGATCACTGATAATGTTAAAACTTATCTTCAACCAAATAAAATAAAAACAGAAATATGCAAAGCAGGCAAAATAAATGACATACAATAATTTCTTTAACATTTAACCGGAATTGCAAATCATTTGATTAATTAATTAGTTCCTCATAGTGGAAAATGGTTACTGATATGTATTACAGCTTATAAAATGACTACATATCCTCAATCTTGATGAGCAAAACATATTTATTCCAGTCACACCATTTATACCTCCTAATAAGAGAGAAATCCAGTGGAATTGTGTTTGGAGATAGTTGCAACTATGGTACATCGATCCGAGAACCACCTTCTCCAACCATAAAATCACTTATCCAGTCTACCGACATATGAAAACAAACTCACCGTTAAGGATAGATAGCAAATTACTGGGAGAACATCCAGTATTAGTAGCAGCGGACAACCAAATAACAGTGCTAAGCGACGAATTTCAAAGCAAACCTCGACCTGACATTTTAAAAGATCGCCAAGGTTAAGGCAGATTCAGATTATAAGGATAGAAGGCTCTTGTTGCTTATGTTAATCCTCCCGATATATATCTCTGCAGAGATCCAGTTTCTCTTTGAAAGCGGATTAACATAGGCTCCAAGCCTCCTATCCTCAACCAATAAATCTGAATCTGATGGAGCTGTTACTGCTGTATCAGGTAAGGAGTTCTAGTCGTTGACCACTCTGTCAGAGAATCCAAATTCCACACGTATTTTATTCGACTTCGGTTTGAGCACCTTCTTGTAGTGACCTCGTAAATTTATTCTAGAGGGAGAGAAAAGGTTTGAAAGGTCAGTTCCTAAATCACCCTTTAGTATACAGTAAGCTAAAATTAAGTCACCTCTCTTCCTTCGGTAATGATAACAGGAAGAGATTTAAATGCTCCATCCTTTTGTCATAAGGAAGGTGTGACATACCACTAACTAATTTGGTTCCTACCTTTTATACTCTTTCTAAGATATGTCCCTGCTTTTTGAAGCATGAACTAATCGCTTGTATGCAGTATTCTAGATGAGGCCTGACATATGTTGCGTAGAGTACTTTGAACATAGACTCATCTAATCGTTTGAAAGCTCTTCGGATTGCCCACAGCATTCGAAAAGTTTTAGTTGCGGTTGCATTGCAATTGTTTTCAAATCATGGCTGACAATGATTGCTAGATCCTTCTGTCTGTTAACATCAGATGCTTCTATGTCCCCTAGGAAGTACGACGTACAAGACTTCTGACCTAAGTGCATTATCACGCTTTTCCTAGAATTAATTTCCAAACTCCACAGGTTCGACCATTGAGCTAATTTATCTAGATCACATCTATCGTCGTTATTATTTAGTTTTCCAGACCTTAATGTCGTCCTCAAATACCTCCAATACCTTTGCTATAATGCAGGTCAGAATTACCGGCTGGCAGTTAAATACTAATTGCCTGTTCCCTTCTTTGAAGATACGGCTTTTAATGGCCTCCTTCCAGTCCCTCGGTAGCTTAGCCTGGATCAGAGACATTCAGAAAATCTCCGTAATTGGAATATACATTATATCCGCCAAGGAAATTAACAGTTTAGGGTGAAGTCCAGGTGATTTACTTGGCTTCAGTTTAGACGGTAGTTTGAGGACCTTTGTGTGCTCTACCACAATTTGAGGGCATCTGAGTGGTGATGGCAGTGACCTCGCCATATCCCTGGGTGGAACGATCAGACGAGAAAACGTCACAGAAGTATTCAGAGAGGTTTTCAGCCTTCCCCTTGTCTGACTCAGCTGGTTCTCCACTTATGCTTATGAGTGACGGTATACCACTGCTGACTTAAGTCCTACGTTCAATATACGAGTACAGCCTTTTTGGAAATGGAAAAAATCCAATACTAACTGTCTCTTGTACCCCATACAACCCTTATCAATCACATACTTACAGAGATTCCGAATTTTGCGGTTGTCCTTCTGGAAATTTTCCCTGCCATATATATATATATATATATATATATATATATATAGAGAGAGAGAGAGAGAGAGAATTAAGCAGCTTAAAGACCATTTCACTTCATAAGCGTTCTCATTCTGTAAGCCTATTTAGCCACTGATTTTTGGATGTATGCTATAATGAGATCATAGCAGCATTTTATTGACATTATCCTACTCAGCAGAAAACAATATCCAGTGGCATTCTAAGTAATTTTGAAATTAATTCTAATATCTACCACATGATGGTTCGTACAAATACAAGTTTTTGTTTCAGTAACCCAATGTGTTTTATGTAACTTGTTCATACAGATAGCCGATTTAGAACAAGAAAAAAGGGATTTGGAGAGACAAGTTTACGAGCTTAAAACAAAATGTGAACAAATAGAAAAGAGAGCAGCAGAACAAAGACAGTTGGAAGAAAAAAAGCACCAAGATGAAATACAATTTTTAAAGCGAAACAATCAACAATTGAAGGTAATGCTTGGAATTTCTAACACGCAAGATTACGATTGATAACATGAATATCTTTATACAATAGGTTGTGAAACACACGTGATGACTAGACTTTTGGTATGGTATGAGCTGAACTGCAGTTTTATCACTTGAATGCAGGGTGGCTAAATCATATCTGTATAGTACTGTGAAGAAATCACAATTTGTGACTAGGGACACCTATTGCTTTACTAGGTATATAATAACTACAAACAGTTAATTAGGTATCCTTCCAAATAAGAACAGAACTGAAGCACCTTGGCAAACTATACTTACTTCACTATACTAGTGTGTTGCATACAGCACTTGGAGATGCACTACCCAATATCCCTTTGATATGAAATGTTATCAATAACTAAACAGCCTTGTTTCGCTATCTTAAATTAGATAAATAATTTTGATGTGAGAAATTAGGTATCTACCTATCTATCACAGATACTAAACAAACGGTTGCTTTCAAAGTTGCAATGCAGATAAACTGCACATTTTTCTCCCGGATAAACATAAACAGAGTGAACATAAAACGCTTAGAATGCGTACTACTAACTTTCGTGTTATTTTTAAGATACAACAGTCTACTTTATTGTTATTGTTACTATTATAAGTTGATTTTTTTCCTTCGGAAGTTGAATATTCGTAACTGCTGCCTTACATCTCCACCAATACTCTATTTTCAGGCTCAACTGGATGGAATTATGAATCCAAAGAAATAACGAACTAATGTCAACAAGTGTTAACTATCGAAGTGAGAATTCATATCCAACATCTGGACAAAACTAATTCATCCTATTTTGCACATAAATATATACAAATGTAATAATTCACCTTAAAACATAAACCATAAATAAAGAAGATGCACATCTTATTTGCAATTGGGTGAATCACATACATCTCTATATACCAGACTATGAACAAAAAAACAATAGCTAATTCTAAAAAGAGAAAATTAATAACTAAAATCAAATTTCTTCTCTGTTCAATTTGATTTCATTGAGTTGTATTTTATAGATTTCAAGTATGAAAACATTTTCAAAAGTTGACTAGTAAAAAATATAAAACTATGTCAAGAACTTTACTCTAGGCTACCTTAAACTTACTTATCTGAACTGAATTTTAAGCATAGAAAACACATTGCACCAAAATGCAGTACGTTTAGAAATATCATACTTCGTGTAGCACACATAAATGTAGAGAAAGAAAATTCAAAATTATAATAGACGGAGAAGGAGTAATTATATGCATGCAAATCTAAGAGGATGAGTGCATCTGAGCCATTGGAGATGATTTCGAACCATATCATTAATCATTCGTCCTTAGCATCTCGACAATTAAAGTTAGACAGTCTACAAGATAAAAATTAGAAGTACCTTGATTGAACACTGGTAACTAGTGTAATGTGCCTAGTCCTTTCTTTGGTGCAGACTGAATTCTATCAGTCAGGTTTGCAATGTGGCCACCATTCTAGGTAGCTCGCCATCATGGTGCACATTGATTTGATGATATTAGATGGTCGGAAGCATTCAGCAGGAAGCCTTGGATCTAGGTTTCTTGCTAGTTGGCACTCACCAGTCGGTCAGCAAGGCGTATCTGAAACCTTGAAGGAGTTCATGCCCCTTCTCAGATTCGAACCCAACGAGTGCCAACTTGCCTCCAACCATCTAACATCAACAATTCAAAGTACATCGTGATGGCGAGCTACCTAGAATGGTGGCCACATTGCAAACCTGACTGATAGAATTCAGTCTGCACCAAAGAAAGGACTAGACACATCACACTAGTTACTAGTGTCCAATCAAAGTATCCAATACAGTCTTACATGAGGTCAATCACTAGCTCGAATAGCTCAGTGGTAACGTCTCTGACTCCAGGCGGCACTGGGTGACGACGGTTCGCATCTCAGAAGGGACATGAGTTCTTTCAAGGTTGCAGATACGCCTTGCTGACTGGTGAGTGCCAACTAGCACGAAACCTAGGTCTAAGGCTTCCTGCCGATTGCCTACAGCCATCTAATATATAATCAGTGTATGGACCAAGTTCTTCTATAAATACACCTCTTCAATAGTCGAGCTTTAAATTTATTCAGGTTAACTTGTTGGTTTAAGTGTTTACTTCAGTTCATATCATTATCGTTATATACATCTGCCTGTTGCAGTCCGCTTTAAAAATATTTCGTTTAAAGCTCTAACAACTCGTCTTTTAGTAAGACAGAAAGATTAAACTGGCATATGAGCAAAAAGACTTTGCAGACAAACATGTGTGTTAGTTCAACTTGCCATATTTCGTAAAAGTGTGGTGGCGTGATACAGAGAATACATGTCCAACGGAATATTATTTCACACATATTCCCACAGTTCAATTCTGCATTAGCAACAGAATACTCTGCATGCATTTGAACATTTTATTTCATGTCGTTTAATTTAATTCAAAATCACACGCTCAGTGATTGGTTAAAGATTGTAAAACTATATATATATATATATATATATATATATATATATATATATGTATAGTTTGAAATATTCCCATATCATGAATTAAAAGTCAATCTGAACGAAAAATATTCTTTTCAATAATTTCTCCTCTTCAGGTTCTTACAATTATAAAATATAATATTTGTTGTCGTTACAATAATGGCCAGTTATGCAGCGGATACATTTTTTTTCAACGTAGAATAAGAGATTACTTATGGGGTGCCAAAATAAGTAGTCGTATTTGTGTGAAAAACGTGCTAGGCTGAATTCGATTACAAAATTTTGTAAAATGGGAGACAACGGTGATGATTAGTCATAATAGATTTGCAGAGTGTAGGATAGGAAAACTGACCAGTCAGTTCAAGGTTATAAAAGGTGTCAGGTGAGTTGGTAGTACAAAGTGGTCTGTATTAAACAGGAGATAGTAAGACTGCAATGGGAGGTTCATAATGAGATAACGAATATGTGAAATGAAACAGGTGGAAGCATATTTCGAGAAAAGAGATAATGTCGCTAATAATAAGTCCGGATAGTATAAATGGAGAATTCGATAGTATTGAGAAAATGTTTCCATGAAGGGCATAAATTATGACGAATAATAATTGTAATAAATAGCAAAGGAAAAAAAACCAAAAGGGATAAGGGGAAGAAGCACTCTTGGTGATAAGAAGAATCACCAATCGAAGTTTGGCCACGGTAGGAACAGCGTCTGGACGTGTTCTTTTGACTTGTTAATTTTCCTACCCCACACTCTACAAATCTATTATGACTAATCATCACCACCGTTGTCTCCCATTTTACAATATTTTGTAATCGATTTCCAGATCCTCCAAGTTTTTTTGTGTGGGTCTATATATATATATATATATATATGCATAGAGAGTCGAAGTAAAATGTACATTAGAACCAAGTACAAATCTCGTTGAACGTTGTAATAAAATAACTTCAACATAAGGGGGAAAAGGAAAACAACGGGTTTACACACAAACAAAAAAATAACTAACATTTTTATTATCGATTAAACTTTCAAGATGGAAGGTATATTTCATTACAAGTGAAATAAGGAGACAACGTTGCTTTTTTTATTACAATAATTAACAAAATATACATATACACATATAAATATGTGTTTTTAGATTAAGATGTTCTCTCTTATTCTCTGGTAGTTATTATTCACACTGACATTTATATATATGTACTAAACTGCTGAAGGATCAAATCTTTGTGGGCGTTTAACTCGTCTGGTAGAACGTCTTGGCGTTTCTGATGAGTCTGTAACAGAACTTGCTATAGATGAGGTATCATCAAAATCATCTACATCAGTTGTAGGATTTTGTGAACGACGAAATCTTTCTTCATTTAAACGATCCAACTGATCAAATAGAGCTTCTGTTGTTAATTTATCAGGAGACAGTTTTGGTGGTGTTTTAATATCACGTGTTCGATAGGATCGTGTAACTCTTCTAGAGATATCTTCATCTATTGAATCAGTGGTTTCTTTATCAGGTTGTTTTTCGTTAATTGGAGTTATAACTGTACTTCGTCGTATCTTCGATGAAGTGATAATTGGAGGTTGGGTAAGAAGTGCATCCGAAGTTTCAATAAAATACCTGTCGATAAATAATTTCAAAAAAAAAAAACCCACAGTATATATCAAAAGACAACAGCATCAACAAATCAGTTATTGTATACTGACTACAACAAGGCAAAGAAACTATTCATATCCCAAGGAAAACATGGTAGAATGAGGAGTGATGAAACAGCTCACCGTTCATATGAGCGCATCTGTGGCTGATTGATCGGCTTAAGTATTCAGCTGTTGGTCAGCAGGTCACGGGGTTCACATCCCAACCCAACTTACAGGAAATTAGACACCCAAACAAAATGTGACAGACAATCTGTTGACTTGTATATTCATTTACATGGTTTTATATCTTTTATATCTGTGATCCTGACCCCCCCTAAACAGTTCGACCTATATTCATAAAAATTGTGATCCTTTATGCTGCGTTGCATTATATATATATATATATATATATATATATATATATATATATATTGAGCATAATGTTCAAAATATGCTGAGCAAATACATTACACAACATTTATAAAAAGCATCAATAAAAAACCAATGAATAGATCTTTTTTTTGCCCACCAAACATATGAACACTATTCATTAGGGCAACTCTAAACAATAGGAACCCAAAACGAAACGACCTATGAATGCACAAATGACCTTGTCAAGGACCAATCAGAAGGCCCAAAACAACGACAATAGTCGTCACAGGCAGCACTAAGAGCTAGATAGTAGGCAATAATACACATGCCCTGCGCTTAGGAGTCGCCTCAATATGTCCCCTCTGGAGGCTGGTGTCATATATCCCCAAAACCTATTACTGGAAAAAACAATCACCTGATCGGTTGCTCAAGGTCATTTGTGCATTCATAGGTCGTTTCGTTTTGGGTTCCTATTGTTTAGAGTTGCCTTCATTAGTACATAATAGCAAATATACTGTTGATTGATATGCGCCTAGTTGGAATTCCGTTAGTTTGAACTAATTCACCTTTCTGAGCTGAGTGAGTTAAACCGTGTAAACTATGGACAAGATCAACCCCAATGGAGACAAATCCCGAGCCCCTCACCCCGCCCCAGTCGCCTTCCCTCAATGTTTAGATCACTAAGATCTAGGCTAACAAGGACTACTGGTTGATGTGAGCAGTTAGTTTCCAAATAGGTCGGATCAATCAGTAGAATAAAGTATTGGGAATGCATTTATGCTTGGATCGATCGATTGATTGATTGATTGACTGTCACTTGTCGTATCAAGAAGATGTGAATCGAAATACTTTCGATTTTCAAAGGAAACTAGAGTGAATTCTCCCCCCCCCCCACACACACACATCTTGAACTATATGATTTGTGAATTGTGGAGTTGATGAATATGAACACTATTCATATTTTCTTCATCTATGTATAAATTTTATACAATTACTCAGAATAGTATATATATATATATAATAAGCAAGCAAAAAAGGTAAAACAATAACAGAAAACCAAAAAAAAAAAGAAAAATAGAAGACGAACTTTTCAGAAGGTGTAATATGATCAGAATTGAATAGATTCTCTACAATCGACATATCATCACAGTCATCAGTTGAAGCTGTTACACCTGGGGAGATAATATCAACTTGTTTAACATGTGTAACTGTTCGCCTTATTAATGGAGAAGAAAAGATGAATTCTTTCTTATCTTTAAGTGTTGTGCTATTATTCTTACTATCTGAAACAATCTGAAAGTAAAAAAAATGACAAAGAAAAAAGTTTATTTTTAGAAATTGATGAACATCAACAGAATCACTAGCATCATTCGTGAAATATTGCAATAAATCAATTTCATTGAACTTATTCCTTCCCATACTTCATTATCTCCATCTAACTACTAATTCAATTACAATTATCAAAATGAGGCAAAATTATTCTACTAAGTAAAAATAGTTTAAAGTAGTATGTTCAATATCCTATTCATTCAGTCAGTAGTAGCAGTAGCTACTAATAGAATTCAAGACCCGGGTTTCGTCCAGTTCAGGATTCATTAACTAGGCGTATGTATTATTATTATTATTGTTCCCTTTTGTTCCTAGAGGAGCATAGGGCTCGAGCAGCACGTCTCCATTGAGTTCGGTTCTCTGCCAACGTTTTCACCTGGCTCCACGTCTATCCACATGCTTTTATCTCTTCTTCATATCACCGCCTCCATGTCACCATCGCACCGATAACCAACTTGCCGCTTCCCATTCGAGCTCCTCTCGAGTGATGGCCTGGTGTGTGATGTCACTTGATGGTTTGTTTTCTCAAAGTATCGCCAATCCACCTCCATTTCTTCCTCCGTATTTCTTCCACAATTGTTTCCTGCTGAGTTGGTTCGCTCCCAGAGATCCCACCCTGTTGCTGATCGTTTCTGGCCGGCTATCTGATCTTTTCTAACCTTGAGCGAAAACAGCTGTTGATGAAAGTCTGTAGTTTGTTTGAAGTGCCCTTCGTGACGTGGCACTGCGCCAAGTCTCTGATTCGTATAGTAGCACTGACCACATTGGAGCTGAAAATCCGGATGTTATTCGTTCATGCTGAGTGCTGTTGATCTCCACACAGACTTGAGAGTAGTGAAAGCTTGTCTTGCTTTTCCGATGATCCTCGCTTTGATATCCTCATCATTTCCGTCCTCCTGTAGTTGAAACGATGCTTCCCAGGTAGGTAAAGGATGTTGTTTCTCTCAGATTCCTTTCATTTACGCTGGCTGATTATTGTCTGCTGATGTTGTAGCTATTTCTGTTGTCCAGGAATCTTCATCACCTCTGTTTTCTCTATGTTCACCTGAAGGCCTATCTTTGATGTATATATTGATATTTTTCAATGCGACTTAGGCAAGAAGACATTACATCGTTCCAAAGTCTACTGGAGTTATATGAGATCAATAGATGAAATCAAATGTCTTGGTTTAATAAAATAGCATATTAAATGATCACCCCTCATAAAACAATAAGAAAATGAAATTTAATCATACACGTATATACATATATTCAAGTTTATATTACATTATCAATGTATATATTTGACAAGAAATTTAAAACTTACTGTACTAGACTTTAACGAAATTCGTCGAGGAGCAGAAAAAGTGAAGTCTGTACGCTTCTTATCATTATTTACACTGAGGCTTGATTTACCCTCCAGATAATCAAAATCCATACTGCCTATATTGATCAGACACATTTTCAAAAGAAAGAAGGATAATAAGAATTATTACTACGAGGTGAATACCATCGTATCGTTAAATAATAATAATAATGCAACTATATATTCAAATTTAGTAATTTATCAGAAGCAAATGGATTATTGATACTTAAAGATACCTCACATAGAGAAATGAAGTCGAATGAAAAGTATGATAACTGTGTGTTTGATATTCCAGTGTTGGTTAGCAGGGATTTGATTGATTGGTTACAGGATTTCATCATGAGCTGATATTGGTTAAAGAACCATTGGAAAACCAGCATCAGAGTACTGAACAGCTGTGTCGTCACCGTAGTTTGAGACTCTTCAGTAGTATGCACCCACCACCAGCATTCGAAACAAGGACCTTTCAGAGCATATTCCTAAATGGCTCCAGAAACAAACAGAATCTTCAGAACCTATTAATTTTGAGAACAGGAGACCTAGCTCTTCTATTGCGAAACATATTTTAGAGACAGGAAATAAAACTGACGTTAACACATCTTTTAAACCTATCTATAAAACGTGTTTGGGGCGCATCCTAAAGTTTGTGGAAGCCCTAGCAATTAGAAAGTTTAAACCACCTTTATGCGTTCAAAAACAAGTCGTCATCACATTAAACCTTCCTTGGTAAATTTGTTTTGACACCATAGCAGATGTACTATTACCTCTGTTATTTGGTTTAGTGGTCTTCATTGTTACTTTGACCTTGAATGTCCTTTCAACTCGACCTAAGTCTATTTTCTCATCTCTTACCTCTTTATTAATTTCATATATGACATTCCTATGACAAGTCCGTGTGTGATCAGATTGTTCGAAATGTGTTGCGCAAATACATTACACGATTCAGACAAATTACGTCTTCTTATTGCTTTATCTAAGGACCTTTCAGTAGCCTACTCGCAGACCATTCACCACCTACTGTTAGTCGATACAATGACCAGCCAGCCAGCCAGTCAGTCCATGAATTTCAACTTCTAACAATTCACGCACCATATAGAGCAATTGGCACTAGCCAGTGTCATAGGTGGTGGCGAGTATTTGTCCTCACACCCAACCACCCGCTGTATTCCACTGGTTAAGACTCCCACTAGAACCCAGGTAACTACCTACCTGAATAGGTCCAGTCGCTAGTGATATTCAAGTGTTGGTTTGAGGAAATTGAAATCAGGATGATGACTGAACATCTATATAAGATGGGTTTATCTGATGTAACACATACAGAGTATTACCGGTATTACTACTACCAATCAAGTCAAGCGATGACAAATAATGGTGGAATTATATAAACGAAGTTAGAAAGTTGTGTGAATAGTGCCCTTGATATGATTATGAATGGCAATAGATTGTGGTTGAAACGTCATCATCAGTAAATATTACGGTAAAACACTGTGAAACTTAGTCAAAGTAAATTTCACCCACAATGGAATTAAACTATACCACATTTCCGAAGTTTTATCCTAATAAGGAATAATTTTAAGACAGTTGCAGCGGAGAAAATTTTCTTTTCGACGAAGTCATCAACTAGGCTGACTGTACATTCGTGTAATTATAATAAATGGCTGGGAAAAGTTCCAGAATAATTTCCGGTCAACGGTCAAGTTGATGACTTTGTCGACAAAGGAAATTTTCTTCGCTGCAACTGTCTTTTTATCCTTATACCAATAGAATAATTTCATTGGTCAACTCTTCGCTTCCCATTGTTTAATCTTTGGTCAATCTCCCAATTGTCCACTGACCTAGCCAACTTTTCATATGGTTGAAAAATGTATAAATATGATGCGTTTTTCCTTATACTAAATATAATCCGCTCCTGATTCTCTTATCTTCTCTTCTGCCGTTACACAACTACTACACTATAGTTAGCGTGGTGAAGACGATTTAACAGAGGAGAAGATCTACATTCCGATGAATCATTTTCTACAGCTGTACAGCGTTGACCGCGAAGTAATTTGGAAACTACTCGAGTAGTCAGGCGTACCCCAAATATTCATCAACCTTATTCAACAGCTGTACGACAACGGCACATGTCAAGTGATCCACAACCGAAAACTCAGCGAAGCGTTTGGAGTAAACACAGGAGTCAGACAAGGGTGCTTATTATCACCAATGGTATTACTAATTGTGGTGGACTGGATTATGCGTCAGACAGTGGGAAACGAGAAGACAGGGATATCCTGAACGGACGTGAAGAACCTAGAAGACCTGGATTTCGCGGATGATTTTTGTTTGATGTCACACAAAATCGAAAACTTACAAGCGAAAGCCGACAAACTGGTCGAAGAGGCTGGCAGCAAAGACAGGACTCCAGGTGAACATAGACAAGACGGAGGTTATGAAAATAACCAACCAACAACAACAACAGTAGCAACATCCAGCGCCAATCACCATCAACGGGAGGGATTTGAAAGAGGTCACTTCATTCACTTTTCTAGGGAGCATTGTCTCAACTGCACGAGGAACGGACGAAGATGTCAATTCGAGAATCGGGACGGGAAGGCGGGTCACAAAGAATATTTCCAACAGCCTGTTACAGACCTTTATCAGCAGCTGTCTTCGTTCTATACTCAAGATCAGATGGCCGGAAAGAATCACAAACAAGAAACTATAGGAACAAACAAAACAAGAACCAATTGCCCAACAAATATGCAGGAGAAAGTGGAGATGGATTGAACACTCGCTGAGGAGGCCGCTGGGTGACATCGCGCGACAGGCCAGTGCTCGAGTGGAACCCGAAAGGGAAACGGCGAGTGGGACGTCCAAGGGTGACATGGAGGAGATCGTGTGAAGAGGAGTTGAAACAGTATGGACTAACATGGATGCAGGTGAAAAGTACGACAGAAGCAAGTGGAGACGTGCAGTTGAAGCCCTATGTTCCACTAAGAACCCAAGGGAACAATAATGATAAAAACAAAGTCATAATTAGCATTCAATAGAGAATAATTAATTTGAGAAGAGTTTGGATTAAAAGTAAGTAAATACAAACACACACAGTGCAGACAGACAGACAGACCGGTACTTACAGATTACAAAATAGTGATGATATTTTACAACAGTTGGAATTACTTACTTGGACAAACAGTAGATAAATTCAAAGTGATGTCACAGTCGTCATCTTCACCACTGACAACTTTATAATTATGGCTTGATACAATAGTATCATCTTTGGGTAAATAATTTTCTTTTGTTACTGGAATTGGTTTGTCAACAGTACTACTACTACTAGTTGTCGTTAATGTTGATGATGTTGACGATGTAGCTGTACAAGTAGTCGACGATGAGATATAGCCTTCTGAAAATGATGACAGTGATAAAGAAGAAGAAGAGGAAGGAGCAGAATACACAGTCGGTTGAGACGATATGCTCGACGTAATTGTTGTTGTGAATGCCACTGTTGTCGTTGTTGTTGTTGTTATTCCTACCGGCATAGACCTTCCTTTGTCAAGGATAGATGGTCTCGTCTAAAAATAAATTATGACGACAATAGTGTTATGAACAAGAGAGAAAAAAAGTTCAATGATCGTTTGCTAGATCAAATAAATAGAAATTATAATGCAATAAAAAAAAGGATGAATCTAAAGACAAGTACGATTCCAATGAACGGTAAATATTTGAGCTTTAACTTTGCTTATCATCGACGACTATACCAAGTTGAAAACAGCAGTTCTCGTCCAATCCACCGAAGTTAAGCAACACTAGGCCCAGTTGGTACTTGCATGGGCGACCGGCTGGGAGCATCGGGTGTAGCCACCTTTTTTTTTACAAAAAAAGTGCGTCGGTGGTTCAGAGGTAGAACACACTCACCAACCACGCCTCACGTGGTCCCGAGTTCGTTCCCCGACCGACAAGGCACTCCTTTATCTCGCTAAGCCGGTAGTAAAGCCGATAAAGAGAGAACGTTGGGCATGAGACTAGTTAACCCACCTTGTAAAAATAAAACCACTGCTACCGAAACCCCAAAGCTCTAGCTTGAAGCCCTATGTTCCACTCGGAACGTCAAGGAACAAAAATAAAAACATCATCGATTGTATTATTACTCTCATTAGGTTCCAGGAGGTCCTGGGTTCGAACCCCGGCAGTGGGTGCATGCTGGTGAAGAGTCCTAAACTTACACGAAACAGTTGTCCAGTAATCCTAGGTTTCCCGATGGTTCTCTAACTGATGTCAGCTCATGATGAAACTCCCCCACCCAACCAATTAAAGAAAGAAAATCCCTATATATATATATATATATGAGACACCTAGATGGATTGTCCTTCCTTTTGACTCAGTCTTCCTATCATTGCTTTCTCCCTTGGGTTCCAAATGGAACATAGGGCTTCAACAACACAGCTCCACTTTGTTCTATTTCCTGCTATCCTCATTAGGTGGCTTCATGATTGCCCATAATCTCTCATCTCCTACTCGCACGATCTCCTCCATGTCACCCTCGCACTGCTGGCCGACTAGTCGTTTCCCATTCAGGTTCCAGTCAAACGATGGCCTGGCGTGTGAAGTCACTCGATGGTCTCCTCAGTATGTGCCGAATTCATCTCCACTGTCTCATACATATTTGCTAAGCAATCGATTTTTGGTTGGTTTGCTACTCTCACAGTTTCCTATGGCTAATTTTTTTCTGGCCAGCCATTTGATCCTCCTCAGTAAGGAGCCGGTGAAGGCAGTTGTTGATAAAAGTTTGTTGTAACCTGTTGGGAATGCTTTCCATGATGCACTGGCCAAGTTTCTAAGCTATACAGAAGAACCAACTTCTACTACATCATTTTCAAAATCCCCCGCCCCCCCCCGCATTATCCCAACTATTTGACTCACAAATATGAAATGAAGTACCTTCAACGACTACACAATAATGCTGAAATTTATGCTGACGACACAGTCTATTTCCTGATTTTAAAGAAAATTTTTAAAAAAAGTATTGAAATAGAGAAAGAGTAGAGAGAGAGCAAACTAACCTTGAGTATAGAAGTCGGCTTTTGATTGACTGGAGTAGATTTTAAATCATTAAATAATGACTCCGAAGATATAATACGACTACTACTGGCAGAGTTCGCATGAAGTTGTTTACGTCCACAAGATGGTGGTGTGTAAATACATCTATATAATAGTGAATGATATATATACACAGGGGATTAACATACTACTCGTACTACTAGTAGTGTAGTCATTACTTCATCAATTAAATAGTTACTAAACGTCGGATTATTAGAAAGAAAAAATACAACTTCGTGAACAGGCAAGGCTCAAAAAATACAGTTAGCCAAAGACTATTCATCATATGAAGCTTTCTAAAAATTATACTTCTAATTTAACACTAAATATTATCATCATCATCATAACCTTGAAATAAATGGTTACAAACAATTACTGATAGCTTATTTAATTCAAATTTAGATTTTCCCATCGACTGTGATTGGACCGAAGTGCTCGGTCTCTGGTTGACATGTTGTCTCCTTGTACAAATGCTTCGACGATGTCTGGTCATGTAACTTGAAGTCCATTGGTTTATGGTGACTAGTAGTGGAATCCGGGATGCGTACTGGGTTCGAGTCTCGGTGGGAACACTATCACCCACTGAGGAATGCTCATACATCCAACTGACGAGTCCCAAACAGGACGAAACGTTCAACCTGGATTCCACTGCTAGTCATCACCAACCAATTGACTTCAAATTGCTTACTGATAGCAACGAAAATCTATGATGAATTAAAAAAGTAATCAACTATCTTTGAGAACAAATTAAACAGAGAAAGATAATCAAGGAAGTGTTTATGAGAGCATGTGGGTGGTAGTTACTTCCCCGCTGCCCATACCATGAAGGTTGATTTTTTTCTTGGAGTACTTGAAACAGGAGGCATCAGTGTTGCGTTACCATACAACCCAGGGGGACACAACTGGTTGAATCTGGAATAAAATCTTACCGCCGGCCACAAACCATCGAATGGTATATCAGTGTGGCAAAGTTACACTTCAAGCACTTAAGCACCAGTAACTACCAATCGGCGGATGACCTTGAACGCACCAATCACATGAAAGAGACTGCTATTGGAGGGTATGAAATACATATACTTATGGGGAAAATGCATGAAAACTGTATAAAAGTTTTACAAAGGATACCTTTGTCTGATGTGTGATAAAAATGACTCCCAGTTTTCCATAGGAGAATCAGCAGAAAAGTTACACAACATCCTATACATGTATTCACCTAAATGACTATAAATAACATCCTTTTGCGATCCATTAATGTTTCTAGTCCGGTTTTCAACCTTCTCCAAGATCCTTCGATAGAATTGGTGCGGGTCCCTGCGCAACAGGATCCACAAAATCACTAGTGTAGTTTATTCTATAGTGAATATATCCCAGGAATAATAAAGAGTTATATCCATTCCACTCAGCTGTGTGTATTGTAGATGCTCGTTTCACCAGTCGAGTGATACTCGGTATTAAATTAACTGACTTTCTATCCGACATTCTGTCGACAAATCCTTTCCGTGGAGAGCTATTGTATAATCCATTCACCTAAACGTTATTTACTTGCTCACGACGACGGTTGTATTTTCTCTTTAATAAGACTGTTGCATCTACATGTACAATGACACCTTTTCTTCCCAATAAGGAAATAAGTCCCTCCATTTCCCAGGATGCGATATCCCTGCAGTGCTAGTACCACTGAACTGTTAAAACGAGGCTGTTTTAAAATCCAGTAATTACAACTATAGAAAATCTGGGTCAATGACAAAAATAGGATCTAACAAAAAATGTTCCTACGAAATAGCATTATCATCAGTTCAACTTCCCTCACACTAAGTCGTCTCAAACAAACTCCACAACGATGCAAATGTTCATCAACTGATTTACGGAAGCTTTTTATACTCATGACATCTCCACATGAACAAATCTTTTCTTTTCTAATCAACCTCGCATCTAAGCAGTACTGAAAAACATGGTCTTCACCAAATTTCAGATGTAACATAGTTGGAGAGGGGCATTTCACTCGAATCAGGCGAAATAGAAGCTTGAACTCACGCGGAGAAACTCTTTATTTCATTTAAGGTCAATGGTGTGGACGCACTCCGCTGGCGGTTACTGGTACTTAAAATTGAACTTGACCGTTGGTATGTACAATTTTCAGTGTCGACCTTTTCCAACCCTCTCCCAAACTGGAGAGGCATTATACCTGGCTGGCTGGTCATCTGAGTGGGACAACTTACTGCTGTTACATCCCTATTCACTGGTCCCTAGGCTCCCCCCCTTCGCCCACAAACATAGTGTGAGTGATTTACACTATGGTGTTAATTGCTTTCAGTCTAACCACTATCTGAACAACCTTTCTGACATGCTAAGACCTACAGGAATAGTAGATCCAGACAGTATAGCTTATTTGGTCACTGAGATATGCAAGCCCGACTACCAAGCCAAGGTAGCACAGCTATAGGCTGGCTGGGAGGAAAGATAAACAATGAAGGGAAGTGAATTAGAGAGTTTAGTATTCTTTCAAGCAGTTGGTTTTGCTGAAACATTCAAAGAAAATTTGGATTTCAATAGCATTTAGTGTTTTTACTGTAATACTGATAATGGGAGGGTGTTGCTTATTATGTTCCATGGACTTAGAACCACCTTTAAACACTTAGAAATTACAATGATGACGACAGGGATGATAATTTAAAATAAACACTTAATCAATAACTGTCACCATAATAGCACCCCGGAAATTGTCGTATATTTACTTTTACAGAAGACAAGATTGTGTGTAGAGTTTGTTTGTGTGAAAAGTTTGATGTTAACAGTAAAATAGCATTTCATTGAGAAATCCTTCTCTGTTTCAGTAGAAATCAGTATTACTAGCCTAGACCAACAAAGTAGTATCATTATTATATTACTATTATTATTCCCTAGGGTTCCGAGTGGAACATACGGCTTCAACAACACATCTCCACTTTCTTCTATTTTCTGGCGTCCTCTTCAGCTGGGTTCACGATTGACTATAATCTCTCATCGCCTTCTCCCCGTTACACAATCTCCTCCGTGTACAATCGCACCGAAAACCCACTCGTCGCTTCCCATTTGGACTCCACTTGAGCAATGGCCTACACTGTGCGCGATGTCATTCGATGGTCTGCTCAATGTATGCCCAATCCATCTCCATTTTCTCCAACATATTTGTTGAGCAATCAACTCTTGGTTGGCTTGTTGCCAGAGTCTTCTGTTACTTATTCTTTCAGCCCATTTGAAGCAGATTAAGCATGTTCCATGCAAACATATATATAAATATTCATTTTTGAGAACTTCTACATCAAGATCCTAATGCAATTTTTCATTAAAACTTGATTATTTGAAGTCCAAGTGCCTAAACATATTCTGTCTTTTTTAAAATTTTCGAATGAGTGTTCTTCGGGTGTTATTTTTATTAAGATTTATCCCTATTCATTAAAGTATGTGCACTGTAGGTGTAAAATCATAAATATTATATCTTTTAGCTTGTAGTAATCACAATTTAGTCCTTCAGTACAGCCGTTGATAGATTAAAGCCTGAGGATGTCAATTCTATGGTGTGTAGAAGTAGCAGCATCATCATCATACAAGGTGCATAAAAACAATTGTTGTGAAAGTTTAAAGCACAATGCGCGTTAACACTGAAACATCAGACGAAAGCAAGAAGGAACTCATCATCACAACAAGAAATACAATGACAACAAAAGCATAGTATTCAAGTGTTGGTCTACCAGCCAGCTGGCCTTGTAACAAGAAGTTCCTAGGTTCGAACCCTGGCGGTGAGTGCGTAGTGTTGAAGAGTCCCAAACTAAGCTGACGAAACAGATATCCATCCAGTAGTCCTCGGTGGTTTTCCAATGGTCTTCTAACCGATGTCAGCAGCTTATGATGGAAACCTCTAGCCAAAACTATAGTTGCATGGAGGATTTCATCATGAGCTGACATCAGTTAGAGAACCACTGGAAAACCTGGGAGTACTGGACATCTGTTTCGTCCTAGTTTGGGACTCTTCAGCAGTACGTGCCCACCGCGATTCGAACTCGCCTTGTAACCAGAAGGTCCTGGGTTCGAATCCCGGTGGGCACGTACTGATGAAGAGTCCCAAACTAGGACGAAACAGATGTCCAGTACTCCCAGGTTTTCCAGTGGTTCTCAGCTCATGATGAAATCCTCCATGCAGTTAAACAAAATCCCTACCAAACCAATACTTCAAAACTATAGTAGCTGACAAAATCAGACAGTGGATAATTCAGCACTAGGTTTTATATGGACACATTAAAAAAAAACATAGGTTAACAAGAAGTAAAAATGATGCAATCAACTTACTTTAACAACTGCTTACTAATATCATCCTCTTTACAGGGGAATTCACGTTTTCTACTAAATTTTACACGAGATTCATTCAGTGTAACTGGTTGCCCAGGAGTTGTCGCTGTTATATTACTAATACCAGTATTATTATTGACAACAGAAGAAGAAGCAGTGCAATCCATGAGACGACCTCCTCTATCATTACAATAGAGATCTGGATTTAATCCACAACTTCGATTAAGACTTTTCAACCTATATTTATTCAATAAATGAAAAGATAATGAGATAAACAAGTGAGTCGCACGACTATTTCATGGAAAAAATAACAATAATAGTGATAAAACAACTCAAGGCGTAGAGGGACCTATTGTTATATAATCATGAATTCTTAACGCTTAGTTATATCATTAATTCCTGTGTAAACAAACATCACATACTCACGCACACTAGCAAATGTCTTTGCAAAGGCTAGAAAACTGAAGTGTATGTGATGAGACAACAAGTGCATACAAATAAACCAAATGTCTATATTTTTATTTTTATTCCTTCACGTTCCCAGTGGACAATAAGGCTTCAAGTTAGAGGCTTGAAGTTTCTGTAGCAGTGGTGTTTATTTTTACAGGATGGGGTTGCTAGCCTCATACCCAACCTTTCCTCTTTACGAGCTTTTTATTACTGACTTAGCGAAGTAAAGGAGTGCGTCTGTAGCGGGGGATCAAACCCCGGACCATGTGCATGGTCGGCGAGCGTCCTAACCGCCGTGCCACCGATGCACAAAAGTCTATAAATTTTCTAATAAACATTTAAATGAATACATTTGATCAATAATTACTCCAAAGTATTTGTTTTTTTAAATAAAACGTGCACCAGTAGGAAGATGTCCGCAATACTCTGCAGAGAAGCCCACCTTAACTTCACACGCCTATCAGACTATCCGTTAGTAAATCCTGAGAAGAGGAAAGGTCAGGCATTAGGCTAGTAGTAGTAACCCTAGAGGTCATAAAAACAATACCTATTACTACTGTAGTGAGAGCTGGCTGCTAGCAAGAAGTGGTAGACAGTAATTTACGTCAATGTTTACGTCCCCTATATTGGTCATGAGAAAAGAACAAGAACAAAGACTGACTCAACAACCAACCAGTCACAGCAGACTTTGCGTAGGCGGATACAATTTGCAGACAAATTATCTGAAATTCAAGAAACGGCCACAAAGAGATGAAAGATTAACGTTCAGCGAGAAATCACCAATCAGAAGACTGTTTGTTTCTTTGTTTACAATAATCTATAATAATGTACATGAAAATATATAAAAATCTGTTGATTTCCACAATAAACAATCTGTCGCCTGGCCTTTGTCTTCAGTCGTTACCCATTACTACTGTTAATGAAACTACAAGAAAGGTAAAAAAAATCCAAACTAAACCGAACGACTTACTCTTTGAATAAATTCCAAAATTCTTGTCGATATTTTTTATTACTAGCAAGGAGAAATGCATTCGACTTATTATTGACACCAATATCCTTGTTAATCTGGCTGTTTAACATCTCTTCACTATCATCACAGCAGCAGTATCAGCAGTATCGATTATTGAATCGGTTAACGAATTTGCTGTACACTTTTTTGATGACTTTTTTAATTCACCTGGTAATGCTGATCTTACGTAATCGTGAACCATGAAATTATTATTATTAATATCAGCAGCAGCTGCATTATAAGAAGGATTTTTGTCGTCAACACCATTAGTGTTGTTTATTAATGAAGAGGACTCAGAATTTGTCAGAAAATCATCCATACTAATATATTCATTAGCTAAAGCTTTGAAATGTTCAGTCTTTCCATCATGAATAGCAGTAGTGGTAGTAGTAGAAGTATTTATTAACGGTAGACATGAATTAAGTAGTTGTGCCATTAACTGAAGTTGTCTTCTTTGTTCATTATCCATAACACCACTGCTGGTGCCGAACAATCCACGCTTGCTTTTGTTATTACTGCTATACAATACGCCTGTACGTCGACAATCTTTAAATATTGCCATAGCAGTCTGAAATTATATTGGAAAGCGCGCGCGAGAGAGAGGGGGAGGGAGATAAGAACAGAAATGGTGGTGAATAAGTTATGTAACAAAAATGCATAATATGTTACTCAAAAATGATTTTTTTTTTGAAAGCTACATGTTGAACAGATATATATTTGGTTGGAAATGATGACAATTTATTCCCTATGTGGTGATAACTGAATTTGAACTAAGATAGGAATTGAATAAGAAACAGAGAGAGAGATCATTTACATCCATTATTGTGTATAAAACAAGTCCCCAACGGGTTGATCTCTGACGAAATCTCAGCACGAATACAGAGGGCTAGTTTCGCATATGCCAGTTTACGCCGTCTCTGGCGTAGACGTGATATCCGACTATCGACCAAAGGGCAGGTGTACTGCTCAGCAATCCGCTCCGTCCTCCTTTATGGCTGGCTGTGATACCTGGCCATTGAGAGCAGAAGACATGAAAAGACCAGCTAGCTGTCTTTGGTCAAAAGTGACAGTGTTCTATCTCCCGCGTGAAGTGGTATAATAAGGTGAGTAATATTGAGGTTAGGCGTCGAGTGCTAGGTAAGGAGGGGAAATCAATCGACGAGGCTGTGAAGCTACATCGACTGAGATGGTTAGGACACGTGTTACGTATGCCTAGTCATCGCCTTCCTCGACAATGGGCAATGTTAGCTGATATAGGGTCAGGCTGGAAAAGAGCCAGCGGCGGTCAAACGAAAAAATGGCACCAGTCAATGAAATCTACAACAGTTAGTCTAGGCCATGTAGGAAGGTGTAAACTTCCTGGTTGGGATCATCGGGACGGTAAAAACCAATGGTTGGAAACAATTGGTGACATGGCTCAAAATCGTTCTCAACGGCTGGTACAGATGCATCCACTCCTTGTGACTTATGATTTCCAAAGAAACTATATGGTTCTTCGTTATTACTATACCTTTGTATCACACCTCTGTTTACTGTGTATATTATGCATTTCTTCTACTTTCTTCTCTTGCTTTGTGTGCTACATGGAGTGGAGTGTGGCGACTTGAACAGCCGCACATATGTGCGAAATTCTATGTCGAAAACAGACAGACAGACTATATTTTATATAATTACGTCTGAAAGATTAAATTAAACAATGTAGAATTAGTACAGCAATTCAAGTGATCATTAACATCAATTAAGGTAGGCCATAAAGGTAGAAAGAAGTGATGGAAATAAACAAGGAAAAATGATGAGCATTTAACGAATCTGAAAGATCATATAACAAGGCAGACAACGATTTTCAACTGTACCACCACCACCAACAGTCTCAAGTCATTTGGTTTTCAGAATTTCGATAACCCTAGCCAACAAGGCTGTTTATGCATCCAGATATCAGTGCCATATTGTAATGTGACCGTTTTTCTAGCCCTTTTTCAATCTAGTCTTATATCAGGTAAGATTGCTATAGTCAAGGAATGCAATGGTTCAACATGCACAAAACATACCCGCCTATCCATCTCAAGTGATGTAGTCCCACAACCTTGGCTTGCTCTTCATACCTAACACTACGCTTAACCTTTGATGATGGTTTCTTGTTGAAGTTACAACTTGAGTTTAAACACTTTTTGAAGACGATTAGCAGGTATTTTTCCTCTATTCTCTTCAACACCCAAGTGCTACAGTGTGTCTGGACTCTTTTAAACAATATCTGCATATAGTTTCCGTTGTGAGTTCATTGAGTTTTAGCTATGAATGTTGAGTAAATAAAAGTGATCAATAGAGATGTAAACTAACAACCAATCACGATAGAGGTTGTTGTCAGGAGATACAATTATATCACCATTCATGGAGGGAGAATTCAAATAAGTTCATTTCAAACTAAAACCTGCACACTGATGCGATGTTGTTGTGTGGAAGGTGGACAACGAGAGGTTTGCAATGAAGTCAACCAGCTCCTCCTCAGAGAACACAAATAAATCAAAATCATCCCAACTGAGCTACATCTCACCGATGACATTGGTTGGTGGTCGCACTAAATCGCGAATAGGTAGAAGTAAGAATTCATGGTCTGGTCATTGAATCGGTTCCCAGCGGCTGAATGGTATACCAGCTTGCCTTGTAATCGAACCTCGGCGGTGAGTGAGTACTGCCGATGAACTAGGATGAAACAGCTGTCCAGTACTCTCTCTGTGCTGGTTTTCAATGATTCTCTAACTGATATCAATCCTTGGTCATACTGGAAAAAACCAAATCTAGACCTTAGAAACCAACTCTTGAAAATAAATCTTTTCTATTATCTCACGACTGAGCGAGTTTCAACATAAAATTTTGCACAGAAGTGCGCCAGCAGTTCACGTTTCTACCCTCCATGGAGAATAAAGGCAGATGAAAGGATTCAAAAGGACTATTAATGAGCAGAAATGTGCGCAAGAAATAACAGTAACACATGGAGAAATATGAGAGTTTAGTGTATATATATGGCAGAGATCACAAACAGAGAGTGGATCTGCGCTATTTGACAACACGATTGTGAGTCATATCAGCAACAATTTCAAGCCAAAGGTACTTAGCCTCCCGAGAACTCTAACCATGGAGTCTCTAAGTAATTCAAACCAACAGTCAAAAACTTCATGGACTGACCACTACCCCTAATTCTTTTCCTCCAATCTAATTCTAAGTCAGCTTATATTGGTCGTCGAAGAAGGCGATAACTTCACACACACACACACACAACACGTGTCTTAGACATTTCAATCGATGTAGTTTCACAACTTCACCGATTAACTTACCCTTCTTACGTAACACTCTACGCCTAACTTCAATACTGTTCACCGTGTTTATCACTTAACAGAGGAGATAGAACGCCAACCGTCTGCGGCCAAAGACAGCTCTAGCCCTCTTCATATCTTCAACAGAGGTGCTCATGTAAATCTCAGGTACGTTTCGTAGTGAGAATGATTAACGCTAACAAGCACGAAACTCGACCCAATGACTTCCACCTGATTACTAAATACAAATACGATTGCTCAATTCAAGAAAGATGCACACAAACACACACACGAATGACAATCGTTACTGAACATAAAAATCAGAAACCTGAAACAAACAAACACACGCAAACGCAAACGCAAAAAGGTGATCAAACATATAAATAACTTTGATGCTAAATACTCACTTCATATTGTGAACGAGCAATTAAACAATGGAATAACAGGTTATGCTGACCAGTTTTTTGATAATATTCAAATAAAACTTTAGCCTCCCAGATATTTAAACCTAAACCGATCAGATCAGTTAATCGACCAGCTGTATAGAAAAAAAGTGTTTGTAACAAAAAAACAAAATAATGAATAATTATTTTACTAGGAAAAGGTTGTGCTTTCACATAACACTATAGAAACTAATGACAACAACGATAAATGAAGTCGACATAGACATCTAGTTGACGAAAGGATTCATCACTAGCAGGTTTACACAGAAGCTTTTGGGCATATTTATTCTCCGCTGAGATTATTTTTACATTGGTTAATCAAACTGAAGCTATCTTGGTTCACTTCTAGAGAACAAACCAATGTGGTTAGATAGCAGTCATGGTAGATATTAAAGTTTGAGTATCACTTCTTAGAAGAAGTAATACAGGTAGGTGGAGAGAGAAGTTGATTACTGAATCTTGCCTGGTTCATCGAGTTTACACCCAACACGTGCAGTAGGAATGACAAATCACTTATACCGAAAATATGGAAAATACTACTACCAATCAAGTCAAGCGATGACAAATAATGATGGAATTATATAAAGGAAGTTAGAAAGTTGTGTGAGTAGTGCCTTGATATGATTATGTGGTTGAAACGTCGTCATCAGTAAATATTACAGTAAAACACTATGTGACTTTTGATGATATTGGATAGTTGGGGGCAATCGGCCACAGGAAGCCTTGCTTGAACTAGGTTTCGTGCTAGTTGGCACTCGCCATCCAAGGAACAACTCATGTCCCTTCTGAGATTCGAACCCGCGTCACCCTGTGCCGTCTGGAGTCAGAGACGTTACCACTGAGCTATTCAGGCTCGCGATTGACCTCCTGTAGGACTTTAGTGGGTATTTTCATTGGACACTAGTAACTAGTGTGAAGTGTCTAGTCCTTTCTTTGGTGCAGAATGAATTCTATCAATGTGTCCACCATTCTAGGGTAGCTCACCATCACAGTGCACATTGATTTGATGATATTAGATCAGTGGTAACGTCTCTGACTCCAGGCGGCACTGGGTGACGCCGGTTCGAATCTCAGAAGGGACATGAGTTCCTTCAAGGTTGCAGATACATCTTGCTGAGTGGTGAGTTCCAACTAGCCCGAAAGCTAGTTCAAGCAAGGCTCCCTGCCAGTTGCCTCCAACTATCTAATATTATCAAATCAATGTGCACAGTGATGGCGAGCCAAATTGCAAGCCTGACTGATAGAATTCAGTTTGCACCAAAGAAAGGACTAGACACTTCACACTAGTTACTAGTGTCCAATGTAAATACTGTGAGACTTTATCAAAATAAGTTCTACCCATAATGGAATTATACTATACCACAGTGCACAAGTTCTACTCTTATATTGATAGGACTTCAATACATCAAAGTGTAACATAATTCTATGGTGTATTAGATTTTGTATTGAACAGTGTTGTCCAATCTTAAGGTAATTTACATTTGAACTTATTTTACTTTGCACTAAGATCAAAGGCTTGGTTGGTATATAGACATACCTCTTGTCATTGATCGCAGTTTAAGTAGTAGCTCAAGTAATGAATTCCTTGATTACTGGATTATTAAATGTCAGATAGTTGAATTTAGATGAAAAAGATATGATCATCAATGTTAATATGACTAAAGCACGAATAACAGATTGAGCAGAATAAAATGGTACCATTATTGTTTATTTCGTTGGCCTCTCATCAGTTGCTTAAAGCTCCCAATGACATTATTAAGTCTATGTACAGAAACAATTTTAACATACTTACAACACAAAGAGTTCAAGCTTAAACGAAAAATCCATGTATGCATAGAATGGTGATAATAATCCCTTTATACCAAGCAATAATAATCATACACAATGAGATTTTTTGGTGCAATGTAGTCAAATGAGAGAGAGGATATAAAATATCCAGTCACCAGGGCAAGGAAAGACTGATAACCACTTCCTTCTGAACAACGCATAAATCGGGTCTCAGACGATTGGTGGAGAATGCTTCGGCAAACTTGAGTTGTATTGTCTATTAATCAAGGAGATGCCTGGCAATGGCACTATTGAAGACATTTGTTCCCTTCACTTAGGTTTCTCAGTACATGTTCAAAGTATGAGAGATGCCATTCTCTTTCCGTCCTCCCAATGTAACTGTTCCCGCATATATATGTAAATTTGTATACACAATTAGGGTTAACACGGGAAGGGTATCTGTCGACTTTTGATTGCACCAAAGAGCAAGTTGTTCGACAAACGGGAACCAACTTAGCTGCAAGATAGGCTTTGGCTAGTGACGTATTCAATTTTTACTGTGATTATTCCTGCAATATGTATTAGCTTTAAAATCAAGTTGAATGAAGATAGGCTTTTTTTCCCACTGTGACTTGTTTGGTACTAGAGCCTTCACATCTTCCATACTTGTTAATGAACCTCTGAAGATAACCGTTGTTTTTCAACATCTTTTCGAGAATCAGAAATTCTTCCTCTAATTTCTCTGTAGAGCATATTCTCCTGACATAGTTTAGAGTTCGTTTATAACTATTTGGACACAAAAACTATTAAAATGCAAGTATTTTCTATTCCCTGTCGACTTTCTGTATATAATGACCTCTGAAGACTACTTATCTTCCAAGCGAAGTATGGTAATTTCAAGGAAATGAAACATTTCCATCATATTCATGTTCCATAGTAAATTCAGTATTAGTATGTACCTCATACGAAGTCCCATTGAAGGTGACAACTAATGCAGAAAGACTACACTGAAGAAGTTGAAGTGTGTCTTTACCCAAGGAGCAACAAACACACACCGAAAGGATACACAATCAGAGATGTTGATTTTCAAAGTTTATTAAAACTATCACCTCTTCAAACCATCCAACACAATTTACTACACTCTAGCGGACTTAACTCCATCAATCGTTTTATCTTCACAACAACTTGAATGAATAACTTCTCGTGCTTAGAGCCTACATCAACCTTAAGGATGTGAAAATTCTGGAGAGAAAAAAATGTACATGTATAAGACTTGATGTTTCTGATAAGATAATTTCAAGTGTTCATCGTCAAATCGAGAATCGGGAAGGCGAGAAACACATTCATCAATCTGAAGCCAATCTGGAAATATTCGTCACTCAGCATCAACAACAAAATTCGGATTTTCAATACAAACGTCAAGTCAGTCAGTTCTTCTATACGGATCAGAAACTTGGCGGCGGGTCACAAAGAATATTTCCAAAAGACAGCTGTCTTCGCTCTATACCCAAGATCAAATGGCCGGAAAGAATCACCAACAAAAAACTATGGGAACAAACAAAAAACAAGAACCAATCGCCCAACAAATATGCAGGAGAAAGTGGATATGGAATGGACACTCGCTGAGTGGGCCACTGGGTGACATCGCGCGTCAGGCCATTGCTCGAGTGGAACCCGAAAGGGAAGTGGTGAGTGGGACGTCCAAGGGTGACATGGAGGAGATCGTGTGAAGAGGAGCTGAAACAGTATGGATTAACATGAACGCAGGTGAAAAGTACAGTAGAAAACAGAACCAAGTGAAGACGTGTAGTTGAAGCCCTATGTTCCACTAGGAACCCAAGGGAACAATAATAATAATAATCGTCACAATACATCATGAAGTAATTATATCATCTGACAAGCATATACAGGAATATAAAAAGTTATTTTTAACCAACCAATCCAGTCACTATACTGTGACTTACCTTGTCTACAGATTTCAGCCAGTTGAATTAACGAATCACGCGCCAATCTGTCTACAGAAGTCAACATATCAGCTGGTAAAGGTGTACAATTATGCAATCGATTCAATTTTTGAACTAAATTACGCAATTTTGATAAAGCTAAGTATGGTGCACCAATTGGTTTCATATTTAAAATATCAGATTTACTACTATTATTAGTAGTAGCATTAGTGTTGGCAAAATTAAACAATCCTTTAGATGATAATTGATGATGAATTGAAGTGGGCGTGTTAATTGTTAAATATTTTAATAAATCACCGATTAACTCAGATCTTCCATAATGTTTAAATAAATTAATCATAATATTAATTTGATTTGGGAAGAGATCTTTGTACACTGGACAATTTGACGACACTGGCACTACTTGTGTTACAGAAGAATTAATGATAAAAGATAGTATATGCGGTGAGATAGACTCCTAGAAATTAAAAAAAAGCAAACAAACAAAATCAATAAACAAACGAGGAATGATGTAGACGAAAATTGATTACGATAGTAATCATCAAGTGTGGTCGGAACAGTAGGGAAGTGGGTTTACCCTTTCTTAAAATCCAACAATTGGTGTGAATGAAGTCATTGGAAAAATGTGGATCACTCGAATGATCCGCCGCCTCGCAGACAAGTGAAGTTGAATGGTCGAAGAATCGCGTAATTTAAAATAACATCAACATCCCATTTTCATTTGTGAAGTTTGCAGTCTACTAATGTAAATTATGACAATTTGAAACTGATATACAATTCAATCATTAAAAGTCAATCTAAACGAAGAATACTCTTTTCAATAATTTCTCCTCTTCAGGTTCTTACAATTATAAAATATTATATATTTGTTGTCATTACAATAACGATAGCCAGTTATGCAGTGGATAGCAAGTGGATCAAGGCGAAGAGGCACTCTTGGTGAGAAGAATCATTAATCCAAGTTTGGTCACGGTAGGAAGAGAGTCTGGACGTGTTATTTTTACTTTCTCTTTGCTTATTATTACAACTATTATTATTATTCGTCATAATTTATACCCTTCTTGCAAACATTCTGTCAATACTATTGAATTTTCCATTTAGACTATCCAGACTTATTAGTAGTAGTAATATTATCTCTTTTCTCGATATATGCCTCCACCTGTTTCATCTCACACATTGGTTACTTCATTGGGAACCTCTACCTCTCACTGCAGTCTTACTACCTTCTCTTTAATACATACCACTTTGTACGAGCCACTCTCACCTGACAATTTTTATAACCCTGAAGTGGTTTGTCAATTTTTCCCTTCTCCTCATTCTACGAATCTATCATTCATGACTAATCACCATCCTCATTGTCTTCCACTTCACAACATTTTGTAATCGATTTCAGCCTAGCACGTTTGTCACACAAATACGACTATTTATTTTGACACCCCATAACACTTATCTGTTATTCTACATTGGAAAAAATGTATCCATTGCATAACTGGCTATCATTATTGTAATGACAACAAGTATTATAATATTTTATAATTGTAAGAACGTGAAGAGGAGAAATTATTGAAAAGAATATTCTTCGTTCAGATTAACTTTTAATTCATGATATGGGAATATTTCACACTATTAAATCTTACAATTCAATAAGCCTCACAAATACTGACCTCCTGCTGATTTTCTGTTACTACAGTATTGAAGTAAAAACGGCGAAGTTTAAAAAAAGAGTCCCAGGAGTGCGAACGCCCCAATGACCTTGAACGCATGCCAGCCATTGGCTAACGGCACCTATCATTATCATATCTGAAATATCAATGCTATTCACCAACTAAGGAGCAAATTTCACTCAGATCACGTTTTTAAGTACTGCTTGGACAATGTGATAATAGCTCGTTAGGGTTAGGATCAGGGTCACAATTAGCATTAGGGTTAGGCTTACGGTTAGGGATAGATTTGGAGTTGATGTCATTTATTTTAATTAGTTTTATTATCCACATTTTCCTGGTAAGTAGTTGTCCATCTTGTCACTGGAAACCATGGTAATGCAACTGAGCGCTTTGGGGAAGACTGCACAACAGGATAAGACAGATAAACGATTCACAAAAACAGCTCATCTTCAGTCACATGGTGTATACATATGGACAAACTAGTCTAACTTAGCAACTGATACTACTCATTATAACTGAGACGTATTTTTAAGTCATGTCAGAGAAAGATACCCTGTTTAATGTGTTTTCAAGCATTTTCTTGTAAATATACGTCATTTTTTCATGCGAAAATTCTTCATTTTTATGATTGGTTGGCTCAAGGACACTCGTGCGTTCGCATCCCTTGGGACGCTATTGTTGAACTTTACCGTAAAAACTATCAATATGAATGTGAATGCACTATTCAGCCATGTTGTACACCTTTTCACCTCATCTGCTTATCAACTTACTACTATTCTCTAGACAACAAGATCGAAATGAACATACTACCAGTGTGAATATGATCATGAATTATAATCTTGGAAATGGTTTAAATACATTAATAGTCATGATTGTATAAAATACATAGCTTACACCTCTGCACTAGTATTCAACACTAAGTTCTGATGTTCACTGTTTAAATGGACTAGTTCAGGTAATAGTGCTCGATCAAGAACTCTCATTATTTGGCACGATATCGTATTACATTACATTATCACGCATATCTTGGTTTTGACACGTTGGTCCAAAAAATAATAATAAAAAGACTTCGTATTTTAGACGACCAATTTGTTAGTCATACTTCGTCATGCTAACTGTTTCTGACCCAAGACAAAGAATTACAACTAAGTTTGGAGATAACATATCTATACTATGGTAGTTATTGTATTATTTGCTACACTTTTCAAAATTACTGTTCCTTCAGAATTTAATTAGTGGATGGTGACTAGCAGTGGAATCCAGGACGCGCATTTCGTTCTATTTGGGACTCGTCAGCTAGTGCATGTACCTGCATTCCCCAGTAAGTGATGATGTTCCCACCGAGGTTCGAATCTAGTGCCTATAGTTTCAAACGCCAAAGCGTTATCCACTAGACCGATTGGGCCACGAGACCCACCTCTTGTGCAACGGGTCATATTGATTATTTTATTGAATTTCAGATTTTCCCGTCGATTGACTGGACCGAAGTGCTCGGTCGCAGGTTGACAGTCCTTTACAGTACTAAATACATAACAATATATACCACCGTTGAGTTTTCCCAAAATAAATCGCTTGATGGATTATCTACTCTCACGTCTATGTAATTGTAAATATACCTAAACTGATACTGAAATATACTTCACGTTTCACGTCGTCGTGTGTTCTCGCTTAAGTAAAGCGGACAGGGAGATCAGGTATTTGTCATCTATGATGATGGAGTAGCCTACCCGGTTGTATGATCATCGCGTTCCCATATTAAAAAAAAAACAATAAAAAATTTTACAAATATATTACACATACTTGAAAATAACCTCGATCCATTAGCCAAAGTGATATGATCGTCGGGATAAGAGAATAAGCCGAAGGGAATGCTTTGACAAACAAAGACATTACATAACGACACTGAAAAAGAATTGGAACAAGTAGACGAATGATGATGTATCATTCAACACGTTATCATTCAAAGAAATACACAAAAGACACTAGTAGATAACACAAACCCCAGCGGACAAGGTGAGTACTGTCTAGTCACTACTACATGTTTTTACGATTTGACCACGGATGGATATCAGTTAGAGAACCATTAAAAACCAGCCGAGAGAGTACTGGACAGCTGTTTCATCCTAGTTTGGGAATCATCGGCAGTGCGCACCCACCACCAGAGTTCGAACCCAGGACTTTCCGGTTACAAGGAAAGCTCATATACCATTCAGCCATTGGGACCCGATTCAATGGCTTATGCATTCTAACTTCTACCAATTCGTCCCAGTGGCTGAACGAGCAGGTCCTGGGTTCGAATCCCAGAGGGTGCATACTGCAGATGATTTCCAAACCAGGAGGAAACAGCAGCTGTCCAGTACCCCCGTGGTCAAATCGTAAAAACAAAACTAACCCTTACAAACCAACTATAGAAACTACGGTATGTTTCATCCTAATACTGATGATGAGCTTAAAATCAACATACATATAGACATAGTAAAATAGACATTCGGTTTAATTGGTGAAGTCTTAACTCTATTCATTCCATAATTAATGCTAAAAACTCAGAAAATTGGAGTTACTAAGAGCCATTGAATAAATGATTGTCCCACCCCTTAACAGTTAGTGCGAAATCAACTGACTTTACAATGATAATTATCACACAAAAATATAACACCTCCATATACTGACTAAAGATCACATTAAAATGATCTAAAAGCACTCTAGTCCAGGAAACATAACAAATATTTGCATGTTACTCAGTAACCACTTGGAAACTACTTCACCACTATGGAGCTCAATGACCTAAATCTTCTGACAACCTCATTCAACAGTTACATGATAATGCTACGTGTCAGGCGATGCATAACGGAAAACTCAGCAAAGCCTTTGAAGTACATACAGGGGTAAGACAAGGCTGTCTATCATCACTGAAGATATTTCTAATTGTGGTGGACTGGATAATGTGGCACACCGTACGTGGGAAGTGAGAAGATAGAAATACACTGGACCACTGACAAGAAGACTCTAGTAGATCTGGATTTTGCATGTGGATGATTTATGTCTAATTTCACACAAACTTGAAGATTTACAGGCGTACATCAACAAACTGGCTGAAGAAGCAAGCAGCAAAGAACTCCAGGTGAACATAGAAAAGACGGAGGTAATGACAATAACCAACCAACAGCAACAACAACAACACCAACAACCAGCACCAATCACCATCAACGGGAGAAATTTCAGGGAGGTCACTCCCTTCACTTATCTAAGAAGTATTGTTTCAACCACAGGAGACAACAGGGATGAGAATATCATAGCTGGATAGGTTAGGAAAGGCAAGGTGGACCTTCATCAATTTGAAATCAGTTTGGAAGTTCTCTGCACTGACTCAGCATAAAGAACAAGATTCGGATTTTCAGCACCAATGTTAAGTCAGTCAGTGCTTCTATATGGGTCAGAAAGTTGACCAGCGCATCACGAGAAGCATCTTCAACAGGCTACAGCAGACATTTATCAACAGCTGACTCCTTCTCTGGCTCCATGTCGAAGATCAGATGGATGGTAACAAGAAACTGTAGGAACGAACCAACCAAGAACCTGTCGTTCAATAAATACGCTGGAGAAAATGTAAATGGATTGAGAAGACCGTCGAATGACATCGTACTCAATGCAGACCATCGCTCAAGTGGGACTCGAATGGAAAATGATGAGGGGGAAGTCACTTCGAGAGTGAAGTAGAGGAGATCGCGTGAGGAGATGAGAGATTATGGGCAACCGTGGGCCCAGCTGAAGAGGACAGCAGAAAATTTAGCGAAGTGGAGCTGAGTTGTTGAAGCTGTACGTTCCATTTGGAAACCAGGGGAACAATAATAGTGATAATAACCACTTAAAGCAATTAGTTCCCTTTATGAATTTCGACAACACAATAAGAAGACGTAGTTTATCTGAAACGTGTAATGTATTGGCGCAACACATTTCGGACATTCTGATGACACACGTACTTGTCATACACAGTTTTTATATAATGCAAGAAGACATGAATAATTACAATACAGGTCAAGGTCACAAATGATGGGTAGGGAGACACAAAAGGTGAGGGTAAGAAAGACAAAAGGAGAGAAAACAAGGCAAAGAAGGGGTTGAAAATATTAGGAAGTAAATTAGTCCTCGGTTCTAAATTGAATTACCAAGGCAGGTTTAAGGTGATAACAAATAATTTTTGTACACATAAGACAGGTTTAAGTCTTTTTATGGCTAAGGCTTCAATGAATTTAAGTATGTGGCCCAACCTCGTTTTATATATCGGCTTAAAGGCACTGTTGAAATCAACCTTATGACCCGTCTCTATAATATGCTTGGCTATAGATGATGTTGGACATCTATTTCCGGGTTAAATTGTGTCTGGTGATTTCATTTGTTGCTGCAGCCACTTGGGAATGTGTTCTGTAGCCCTAACCTGCAGAGACCGATGGGTCCTCCCTATGTACGTGTCTCCACACATACATGTAAATTGATAAACACAATGGGATGTGACACTATCGTTCGGATGATGTGAGGGTTTACAGAACAGCATAGTCCTAGTTTTCTCTATGAAGATAAGTTTAGCTGCGTAATAGGTTCTATTGATTGCGGCCTTAAGTCTTTGTCTGGTGACTAAACTTTGTTGATCACCTCTGAACGGTAAGGATATGTAAACATCCTTTTTGGGAGCTGATTGGATTGGCAAAGCTCTATGGTTGACATTTCCGTAACGTCTAATAAATCTCAGTGGGTAATTGTTGTCTAGCAATATTTCAGTAAGGTGTTGTCTTTCTTCTTCAATTGTATCGGTAGTACATATACGGTGAATGCGCTTAAACAGACATTTAACCAACGCCTTCTTATACTGTAGTGGACAGAAACTATGATAATTTAGGTACTGTCCCGTCCATGTGGACTTTCTGTAGACTGATCGTTTTACTGACCCATCTTCTCGGCGGGTTATTAGTACATCTAAAAATGGCAGGCAACCATTATTCTCTTTAACATATGTTAGTGATATACTGTTTTGTGCTCTATTGATCCGGTTCAGGACACACCAGACACAATTGAACCCGGAAATAGATGTCCAACATCATCTATAGCCAAGCATATTATAGAGACGGGTCATAAGGTTGATTTCAACAGTGCCTTTAAGCCGATATATAAAACGAGGTTGGGCCACATACTTAAATTCATTGAAGCCTTAGCCATAAAAAGACTTAAACCTGTCTTATGTGTACAAAAATTATTTGTTATCACCTTAAACCTGCCTTGGTAATTCAATTTAGAACCGAGGACTAATTTACTTCCTAATATTTTCAACCCCTTCTTTGCCTTGTTTTTTCTCCTTTTGTCTTTCTTACCCTCACCTTTTGTGTCTCCCTACCCATCATTTGTGACCTTGACCTGTATTGTAATTATTCATGTCTTCTTGCATTATATAAAAACTGTGTATGACAAGTACGTGTGTCATCAGAATGTCCGAAATGTGTTGCGCCAATACATTACACGTTTCAGATAAACTACGTCTTCTTATTGTGTTGTCGAAATAACCACTTACATTCCCATGAAAATGGCAGTGAGTTAATGATAATACTGCAACAACAGAAGGGAAGACACGGGAGCCAAGGTATATTTTTCATTAATCAAACCGCTGTTTATATATCTACAGTTTATATTCGTTAACCAATCACTGAGCGTGTGATTTCGGTTTACATCAAACAACATGAAATAGAATGTTCAAATATACATAGTATTCTTTTGTTAATGCAGTATATAACCGTGGGAAAAATATTCTGTCTCTAACATCAAATAGAATGTTCAAATAGATATACTGTATTCTATTGCTATTGCCGATTTGAACTGTGGGAATATGCGAGAATCATATTCCGTTGGCACACACTGTCTGTATCACACCACCACACTACTACAGCTTTTCAAACATCAAAAGGTGAAGCGGAATTCAAGCCCATGTGTTTGTGGTTAGAAGTCAAGGCCATAGATCGGTGGATCCCTAGCTCCACATTTGAGAGAGCGGCAAGGTGAGGAAAATTATCCCGGCACATATCGATATCAATACAAGAAGAAACACAATGCTGCAGTGTGCAAGAATCATCAGTAAATAAATTAGGTATCTAGTGTTGTGCTAAATTCAGTTCACCGTTCGTGAAATTAAAATGAACATAACTATGGTCTTCAGGTTCAAATCAAAGAGTCAAGTCAACGGTCAACGTGTTCAATTAGTATCTCCTTACAGGATGGATCACTGGCTGATATCATCTAGAGAACCATTGGAAAACCAGCACCGGAGTACTGAACAGCCAGCTATTTCACGCCAGTGCTTGGGTCTCTTCAGTAGTACTCACCTAACGCCAGAGTTAGAATTCAGGACCTTTTGGTTACGAGGCGAGTCCATAGACGACCATTTCAGCCACTGGGACCCAACCCAATGGGTTCATGAATTCCAACTTCTGCCAATTCGTGATATCATTTCACCAATTATATATTTATAAGTGTGAACAGATAATAGTGACTATTCATCATCAAATATTCATTATAAAGCAATAAAATAAGTAAGTCCACAAATCATAAAATTGCGCATATATATATTGCACAAGCAATTCTAACTCACCATTTTTAAAGCCTTTAATGCTTCAGAACTTTTACAATCAACATTATCGTCAATTTGAACAGTGTTACATTTATTCACCTTATTAACATTAGTACTACAACTATTAATATCATCAGTATCAATTATCATTTCATTGTTTCCAAGATTATTATTATAATGTTGATGTTTGTAATGGATTAAAAATGTTTCAGCCGCTGTATCACATAATAAAAAGCCTAAAATAGCTAAACGTGATCGTTTAATCTTTTCATTACACGGTATTTGCCATAATGCACATAAAGATTGTATATTTCTCGGGGGATAAGTTAACCAATCTGGTATAATCGATTGAGATGTAGGCATATTTTCATAATCATCACCATCATCAATTGGAGCACTGCTCAGATTTATTGTTTTACACTGATCTGTTATCAGTTGTTCTTGTTCTTTCCATATATTATAAACTTCATTCTGCGTAAAACTTATGCTTTCACCGCCATTAGAATTCAACTTTAGTGAAGATTGAAGTGCAGAGTGTAGAAGATATTCACTAATAGTAGTGGTCAATTGATTAGTTGCATTTTCTGTCAAGTCTATTTCATCATCATTAGGTTGATTAGACATCAGTCTTGTATTGCGTAAATCATTGATAGATTTTGATAAAACAGATGAATTATACGATTGAAGAACTGTTGAATTCATTCGACTGTAAAGTAGAAATATATGGAATAATTTAGAATACTTGAACAATTACACGTAACATTCCATTAAAAGAAGAATTTATATTTTGATTAAGTCACACAGCGTTATACTGTAATATTTACAGTGATGACGACGTTTCAATCACAATCTATTCCAACTCATAATCATATCAAGGCCACTACTCACACACACAACTTTCTAACTTCGTTTATATAATTCCATCATTATTTGTCATCGCTTGACTTGATTGTTAGTAGTATTTTCCATATTTCCTGTATGAGTGATGAGTCATTCCTAATGCACGTGTTGGGTGTGGACTCGATGAACCAGGCAGGCTTCAGTAATCAACCTCTCTTTCCACCTACCTATATTACTTTTTCGAATTTTGAGTCTGTCCCACCCACCCTATTGTGTGGTTGTGCGATGTTAATGCATGCAGTGCGATCGCTGGGCTTTTTTCTAAATTACTTTTGTTTGTGGGTGGGGTCAATTATTCTACACACTTAGCTAAATTCTTATGTTCTGATAATCTCACTACCCGCGATCTACTAGTTTGATCTATGTAATTGACTTGACTCACAGTCACTGCAAGGTATTTTGTAAATTGTATTATTTTGTCTAATTGGGTCCACCGGGTCCTTTAGTCTACAGAGCTTGTCTCTGAGTAAGTTTGTAGGTTTGAATGCCACTCTAATTCATGCTTTATTGAGAATCCTACGAAGGGTCTCAGATATGGCCTCCTTATATGGTAAAACTGTAGATGCCTAATATTCTCTCTTATTTATGTTATCATTATTAGTTTCCCCATTATTTTTATTTTGACCTTTTCTGATCTTCATAATGAATTTTATAGGATAGTTATTTAACACCAACCAGCTATTCTTCTATCTGTTTCATTTAATCATTCAGGTCTTTTTCTACTACTTAGTGCTACTGCTCGGTTTGCTAGACACTTAACTAAATCTCCCTTCACAGACAACGGATGCGATGAATTAATGTCTAAATATCTATAAGCAGAATGGGTTGGCTTTTTATAAACACTAGTGTGCAGTTTACCTCCTTCTGTTCGTTTGATTTTATAATCTAACATCATGGCTAATTCTCCTTGTTCATTTTCCGATTCAAATGTGAATTTTATTCCCTCTACTAGTGAGTTTATATGTGTCAAGAAGCTAGAGATATGTTCTGTTTTTAACACTGTGAAAGTGTCATCCACATATCTCCACCATATTTTTGGAGTGAGATTAAATGTATTAAGAGCAATATTTTCCTAGCTGTCCATAAAGATATCCTGCTACGATAGGGGATATTGGTGATCCATCCCATTGCTACATCTTCTGTTTGTCTATATATTTTGCCCTGAAATTTAAAGATAGTAGATGTGAGGCATAACTAAATTCCTAAAATAATTTCCTCAATGGGCAGCTTTGTCCAATGAGTAGGTTCGGGATCTGCAGTCAGTTCCCTTTTAGCCGCTTCGAAGGCCATCATATTGATTGGTATATCAGCATAAAGACTACTCATATCAAAAGTAATCGTTGTTTCATTATTCTCTAATTGAATGTCATTTAGTTTCTCTTTCATTTCATTTGAATTAGTTAATTAGTCTAGAGTTTGGACGATTTCTAATGCGACATAATATTAGAGCTAAGTGTTTTGATAATTCATAGGTAGCACTATTCTTGAAATCTACTATTGGTCGTATGGGATAACCTGACATATGTATTTTAATAGTACCATATATTCTACTGTGGTGAGAGCTGGCTGCAAGCCAAGATTGCAGACAACAATTTACGTCAATGTTTACGTCCCTAATCAGGGTCATGAGAAAGACAATAACAAAGATTAACCTTGAGAAAATCACCCGCCAATTACAGTGGAGTCAACGCGTGGAAATATGATTCGCAGAGAAACGGTCACAAAGACATAACAGAATAACCTTCAGCAAGAAAACAACCAATCAGAAGAGGTTGCTGCTCAGCTAACAATAATGTACATAAAAATCTATAAATACCTCCTGATTTTCTCAATAAACAATCTGTTGCCTATCCCTTGTCATCTGTCGTTACACTACTAGCAATATTAGTTTTAGGCATTAAATTAAACCATTTAGAACTGTAGATACCTTATATTCTCTCTTATTTATGTTATCATTATTACATATATCTGGTTAGAAATAAGGTGGAAGGTAAAAAATACAGGTTGAGGCATGGATCTTGTTAGATCGGCTGCATTGTGAACTTTCTTCCAATAGAATTTTACTCAAGCTAACACATTGTAAACTGATGTAGGGATATGCAACTACATAGAGTGATCCAGTTGAAGATATCATATGCTAAAAGTAATAAGGAATAAAATGCTTAAGAGAGAATTTTTTAAATTTTACTCCTTCATATTCCGAGTGGAACATAGGGCAGTTTCAAGCACGAGCTCTGAAGTTGCAGTAGCAGTGGTGCAATGTTTTTATGAGGTGTGGAGTTGCTAGCCTGAAGCCCAACCTTTCCTCTTTACCGGTCTTGTTACCGACCTAGCGTTGGCTGGGGATCGAACCCCGAACCACATGCATGGTTGGCTAGCATTCGTAACGCTGAACCACACTCACGACAAGTTACAATTTATGAATTGCTGAATTCCCGTTGATTGATCTCATTGGAAGGAAATATTCTGTTTATATTGAAATATCAGCTTCAGGTAAGAACGTTAGAACGATGTTCATGGGTTAGCAGGATTTCACTTGGCTGATGGTAACTTGTTCCTAGTTCAGGTTCATCAACCAGATGTACCTGAGTCCTCAAAGAGTGACAGTGTTCCCACTGACATGTTGCCTGACACTCCCTGGCTGTTCAACAGACACCTTATTTGTCATGAAATCAATCAAATTCCTCTCCGCTCCCCCCCCTAAATAACTTTAGGATTAAAAGAAGAAACAAATAAAAACAAGAATTTTACAAACCTGTCACAGAATTCCTCATTTGATGTTTGCGGTAAAATTCCTAAACGGAAAAGGAATACTACAAGTTTAGCATAGGATAGATATGTCTCTATGCTTAGTTGTACAGGATTCTCACTAATGAATGATTTAATTGACACATCTGAATGCGTTGTTGAATTGAACCAATGTTTAGCCAGTGTTGCTAATAGTTGTATCTGAAAATATAGACAAATGGAAACGTTATATATATATATATATATATATATATATATATATATATATACTGAAGCAATGAGTGGCTCTATTGTATATCCCCATCAGTTTTAGCGTCATAGTCCGTTGCAATGGTTATACACTTGTACAATTCTTTAAATGAGATTTTGCATTAAAACCTTTTTTATTACGTACATATTATAGCTGACATTATATTCTTGAACTGCGTTACATTTGCTGCACCTGAATCACAACACCAGGCTTCATACTGATATCGAGGCAGATCAAAGGAGGGAGAAATTTTTAAAAGTTAAACGCAGATTATTGGATTTTCATGAAATCATGCTGGTACATATTTTATTCATTTTACTGAAACGCCCAAATATTCACCGGATAAAGCAGGTGGCACCATTTCAAAAAAGGGATATGCCAAATAATCGCCAACCTAGTAACAATCGTCTACTCTCAATTCCTTCATCCCATTAATTTGTGCACACCTCAATTATCTCAAACACTCAGCAATTTGATTATCTTTAGCCTGACTATACAAACTAATTTTATCTATCCCCATATGAAAAAAGGGAAAACAAAAATTTGCACCAAAAATGGGCGTCGACCTAGCCGAAAGCCGATCAGAACCTGTCTATAGGCATTCTCGACAATATCGAACATTGTGACAATTTGAACTGATACACTATTTTTTACATGATCTTATACTTTGTAGGAAGCTTTTCTCTCAGCTGTAGTTACAACTTTGAAGGATATAATGACAGTGTGATTACAAAACTATATGCAGATTTACTTAAGATAGCCAACATCTAAGCATATCATCCGAAGATTATTAATACAGACGCATAAAACTACCTCGGTAAATGGAATGAAGCTGAAAGCAGAAACCTACTAAATTCAGAATCCGTGTGAATGACTCAAAGCCTTGTTTCCTGTAAATTTAATTTCTACTACTGGAGAGTTAGTAATAGTTTATTAATCCTAGTGAGTCACAATAGGACTACAGACTACTACAGACCCCCCCCTTTGGATAGTGAGTAAGTACCCTCAGTTATTCTATCGTTGATTTAAGTATAAAACTTGGGCACTGTGGTGGAGTATAACTCCGTTATAGATAAGATTTTATTTTGATAAATCACACAGTGTTATACAATAATATTTACTGATGACGTTTCGAGAATAAACTATTGCTCATAATCATCATATGAAGTCACTCACACAATATAATATACATTATAATAAAGGTTTTTGTATTTCCCAATGAATGAAAAACAAAACGATATTGTTTTTACTGACGTTTCGCTATTTAATGCTAATAGCTTTATCAAAGTATTATTAAACCGGAATTTACAAAATCTCAGCATATATATAACAAACAGTTAGGGGGTGAGAAAATAGACATAGGTCAAGTTAAAGGGACATATTGAAAGTAAAAATAGCGATGAAGATAACTATACCAAATAGCAAAGGTAATAGTATGTCTGTTATGATATCGAAAAAAGGAAAGAAAAGTTTACTAACTTGATCATCGTTCGTCTGTCTGGGGCATTTTTAGTTGTTAAGTTGGTGAATTGGTAAAGATAACAAAATCATCATGTGTAGATTGTTGGATTTGATAAGTGTATGAGATTATAAAAGCAGCGTGTGTTTACATAATGAAAGTGCTTATCACATTCGTGTTGGTTTTGTCACTTGATGGGGGGGGGAGGTGTTGTAACCAGGTCAGATTCTGTTTCAGTCCATCATTCCTATTCAGGCAATTTTGATTCCACTTGATATGAAGTGCTTCTGATATTAAACGTTCTTTGTGATTTCTGAAGTTTTTCTGGATTATTTCAACATTGTCAAAATCAATTTTGTGGCCTGATTCTATAGCATGTAGACCTATGGCTGATGATTTTTCAAGTCTTTGTAGTTCAACAGGATTCTTTGGTGGTCGAAGAGATGCTCTACGGTGTTCATTTCTCCTGATTTTGATTTCTCGAGAAGTTTGTCCGATGTATATCGCATCACATTCCAAGCATTTTATCTTATAGACACAATTAGATAGCGAATCTTTAGGGATTTGGTCTTTTATGTGGACAAGGTTGCTTTGAAGTGTGTCTGATGTTTTGAAGAAAACTCTAATATCGAGCTGATTGAGTACTCTTCTGATATCGTCTGACGTCTCTTCTCTATATGGAATGACGACTGTTGATGTCCATGTTTTCGGGATGCGTTTTCGGCCATACTTGATGTCTGTGTTGATTTTGTTGATGAGGTTCCACGGGTAGTTGTTTTGCTTGAGAGTTTCAGTAATGTTTGATATTTCTTCTTCTTTTGCTTTCTCGTCGGTTATCAGAGAGTGTGCTCGTCTAAGAAGACTTGAAACAACTGAAATCTTTGCGCTGATGGGGTGTGATGACTTGAAGTCTAAATATTTATTTGAGTGGGTTTTCTTCCTGAATATGGATATACTAAAATGTCCGTTTTCCTTTCTCTTAACTAGGCAGTCTAGAAATGGTAGTTCACCTACGTCTGATTCTGCTTCCAAAGTGAATTGGATTCTGGGAGATACACAGTTTATTTTCTCCAGGAATGCATTGTGTAGATCTCGTTTTAGTACTACAAAAGTATCATCCACATATCTTAACCATATTTTAGGAGTGAGTATGCTTGAAAAGATGTTATTTTCGAATTTATTCATGAAAAGGTCGGCGACTATTGGTGAGACTGGTGAACCCATAGCAACACCATTTGTCTGTCTATATAAACTCCCCTTAAATGTGAAATAATTATTTTCTAGACAGAATTTTAAGCTCCTAATTATTTGACTGGTGTCCAGTGGACATCTTTGTGATAGCGTTGTATCTGATTCTAGAAGACTGGAGATGATATCAAGACTTTCGGTAATGGGGATACTAGTATATAATGAGTTAATATCATAGCTTACCATGATGTCTTCTTTATCAATTTCTCGGTGTTCTATTTGGGATTTGAAATCATATGAATTCCTGACAATATTTTGAGTGTCCTTTTGTAGTGGTTGTAGTATCGAGAGTAAGTATTTAGATAGGTTGTATGTCGGTGAGTTGGTGAAATCTATTACTGGTCTCAATGGAACTGTGGGTTTATGTATCTTTGGTTGACCGTAGAATCTTGAAGGTACATAAGACTTTGGTTTTAGTTTAAACCAGAGAGGATTTCCAATTTTGGGTTTCATTTCTTGAAGGACTCTGTTTGTATTTATTTTCATTTTGTTGAATTCGGCGGATTTCTTCTTCTCTTCAATGAGTAAGTATGGTCTTTCAGATAGGTGTTCGATCGCCTTCTTTTCGTAATCCGTTCTGTTCATAATCACGGTGACATTTCCCTTGTCGGCTTTCGTTATAACGATGCTTTTGTCCTACTTCAAATTTCTTAAGGCTTCATATTCTTGTTTGTTGAGATTAGATGGTATGTTTCGTTGTGTCATTAATATGTGTGATATCTTTTGACGAACAGGTTGTGATTCTTCATTGGTGAATTGTTGTAGAGCAGGTTCAATGATAGGTGCTATTTCCTGAACCGATAATGGCTTTCTGGTGATATTGAAATTCAGACCTTTCTGTAGTAATGAGATTTCACTTTCGGTTAGTATCTTGTCTGACATGTTATGTATGGCTCTAATATTCTTCATATCATTTGTTGAGGTTTTCTTTGGTGCGATATACATCGGACAAACTTCTCGAGAAATCAAAATCAGGAGAAATGAACACCGTAGAGCATCTCTTCGACCACCGAAGAATCCTGTTGAACTACAAAGACTTGAAAAATCATCAGCCATAGGTCTACATGCTATAGAATCAGGCCACAAAATTGATTTTGACAATGTTGAAATAATCCAGAAAAACTTCAGAAATCACAAAGAACGTTTAATATCAGAAGCACTTCATATCAAGTGGAATCAAAATTGCCTGAATAGGAATGATGGACTGAAACAGAATCTGACCTGGTTACAACACCTCCCCCCCCCCATCAAGTGACAAAACCAACACGAATGTGATAAGCACTTTCATTATGTAAACACACGCTGCTTTTATAATCTCATACACTTATCAAATCCAACAATCTACACATGATGATTTTGTTATCTTTACCAATTCACCAACTTAACAACTAAAAATGCCCCAGACAGACGAACGATGATCAAGTTAGTAAACTTTTCTTTCCTTTTTTCGATATCATAACAGACATACTATTACCTTTGTTATTTGGTATAGTTATCTTCATCGCTATTTTTACTTTCAATATGTCCCTTTAACTTGACCTATGTCTATTTTCTCACCCCCTAACTGTTTGTTATATATATGCTGAGATTTTGTAAATTCCGGTTTAATAATACTTTGATAAAGCTATTAGCATTAAATAGCGAAACGTCAGTAAAAACAATATCGTTTTGTTTTTCATTCATTGGGAAATACAAAAACCTTTATTATAATGAATATCATATACCCAATGCCCAAATTTTTTCAAACCGTTAAAAGTCAACTTGGTTTGGACATATATAACAATATAATATAATTTACAAAATACCTTGTATTGACACACAACCACACAATGGGGTGTGAGGGAGTCACAATTCTAAAGAGTAATATATGTAGGTAGAGAGCGAGAGAGATTGATTACTGAATCCTGTCTGGTTCACCGAGTCTACACCCAACACATGCAACAGAAATGACTCAAGACAAATACCAGAGATATGGAAGATATTACTACCACCAGTCAGTCAAATCAGAGGAGGATAATAAATAATCTTAAAATTCTATTTCAATTCACGCACATCATAACATTCTAACAAGTTACTTATTATTTTGACTATAAAAACACTCGTCTTATTTCCCATCTGATTGTATTTGATGAATAACACTCATATTATTATTTCTGAATCTACTTTATCTTATATTACTTATTTGATTCAAATGTCTAATCATCAATTCCACTCATGTATATAAATGAAGTAAAAAGTTGTGAGAGTAGTGACTTGATATGATTATGAGTGGCAATAGTTTGTTCTCGAAACGTGGTCATCAGTTAATATTAATGTATGACAAACACTGTGATTTATCAAAATAAAAACTTATCCATAATGGAATTAGTCCATCAGCCTGATAAAAACAAATCACGTGTCACATGATGGAAGCCAACCAATCACAATCCAGCATGCAAACAACGTCTGCTATTCAACTTTGTGATTGGATCAATATGTGCCATATACTCTTGTACTCTTGGTCATTTTGTCTTTCTCCCTCTCTCTCTCTCTCTTATTTTGGGAATATACGTTTGCAACCCTACTGTGTGAAACCTCTGGATTTTACTAGTTCGGGTCAGGGAATAATCAACTAGGTTTTATATTGTCAATTAGCATTCGTACACATTCACAGTCGGCGACATCATAACAGATAGGAATCGGAAAGAAAAACTGCAAACCTTCGTTACTAGGTTGGTTTATGAAGATTCAATTATTCTTAAAGTCAATACTCGTTACGCGAATGCACATCAGTTAAACAAAAGTGTGTTGAACTATCTCGCGTTCTGAATCGTTCTGATATTCTATTCTCTAGCAGTAAAAACTGATGGATGAGTAAAATGATTGGGCTAAAAGCTGTCAAATCTCAAGACAGAGCACGTTACTATTCTCAAGCACCGAATCGAAATATGATGATGACCTGTGTTTACCCAATTCTACTGATCCATGATATATAACAACGATTCAACTGCTAACTTATGCCATCAGTGAATAACTAACTGTGTTTGGATACCTATTATGATTGCATTTTGATGTGTTAACTAGTTTTAAATAGCCAACACATTATAGACGTGTGTGTACTACGGCTTACGTCAAATATTCATCAACCTTATTCAACAGCTGTACGACAACGGAACATGTCAAGTCATCCACAAAGGAAAACTCAGCGAGGGTTTTGGAGTAAACACAGGAGTCAGACAAGGGTGCTTATTATCACCAATGGTATTACTAATTGTGGTGGACTGGATTATGCGTCAGACAGTGGGAAACGAGAAGACAGGGATATCCTGGACCGACGTGAAGAACCTAGAAGACCTGGATTTCGTGCGTGGATGATTTTTGTTTGATGTCACACAAAATCGAAGACTTACAAGCGAAAACCGACAAACTGGTCGAAGAAGCAGCCAGAGAAGACAGGACTCCAGGTGAACATAGACAAGACGGAGGTTATGAAAATAACCAAACAACAACAACAACAGCAGCAGCAACATCCAGCGCCAATCACCATCAACGGGAGGGATTTGAAAAAGGTTACTTCATTCACTTATCTAGGGAGCATTGTCTCAACCACAGGAGGAACGGACGAGGATGTCAAATCGAGCGAGAATCGGGAAGGCGAGAAACACATTCATCAACCTGAAACCAATCTGGAAATCTTCCGCTGTCACTCAGCCTGCATCAACAACAAAATTCGGATTTTCAATACAAACGTCAAGTCAGTCAGTTCTTCTATACGGATCAGAAACTTGGCCAGTGGGTCACAAAGAATATTTCCAACAGCCTGTTACAGACCTTTATCAACAACTGTCTTCGCTGGCTCTATACTGAAGATCAGATGGCCGGAAAGAATCACCAACAAGAAACTATGGGAACAAACAAACGAAACAAGAACCAATCGCTCAACAAATATGCAGGAGAAATTGGAGATGGATTGGACACTCACTGGCTGAGGAGGCCGCTGGGTGACATCGCGCGTCAGGCCAATGCTCGAGTGGAACCCGAAAGGGAAGCGAGTGGCGAGTGGGACGTCCAAGGGTGACATGGAGGAGATCGTGTGAAGAGGAGTTGAAACAGTATGGACTAACATGGATGCAGGTGAAAAGTACAGCAGAAGACAGAAACAAGTGGAGACGTGTAGTTGAAGCTCTATGTTCCACTAGGAACCCAAGGGAACAATAATAATAAATAATAATACTAAGAATTATGTAGAAATGAATGATGATGATGATAATAGTAATAATAATAGATTGTTGTTTCTTATAAACACTACTCGTTCAAAACTATAATATATAGTTACAATAATATAAAGGGGAAAATAATATTCTCCTACCTGATTGAGTGTACAACCTAATTCCAATAGATCTGGAATAGCTGAATGATTATTAGTAATGCTACTACTACTTGTTAGAAAGGCTGATTTTTCACCAGTTGACTTAGACATAAATAATGGGCTAGTCAATTTATCAAAGCGTGACTTTAACCGACAAAATCTCAACCAGATCCAACTGTATTTGAAGTTCACATTGATGGGTGATTCTTGTCCTGGTGGTGTTAATTTCTCCAGATTCTAGTAGTAGTTGAGAAATAGAAACAAACAGGGGAAGAAGAAGACAGGAAAAGAAATAGGATGGGATTATAATAATAATAATAATACGACATATAAGAAATTATTAACAATAGTCATGTGTATATTTGTGCATCTATAAATCGACCACGCTTCATTATGTGACAAAGGTGACTGGTTGGGCAAATTTGAATATCAAATGCCCCTATAAAGGATTTGGTACGTCTGAGAGGGTGGGTAGACTTCGGTCTCCCCCCCCCGTCCTCCCCCGAAATCCTCTCATATGGCTACGCGTTCATAGTCTCTGTCAGCTAAGTCCTCTTCACTGGCTTCATGCAACACGCGAGTGTTCCTCACAAAAAAATGAAAGGTTTAAAATACAGACGAACTAGGAGACATACTGGTCTACCTAGGGGAGTTTGAAAACTCTGATTCCAAGCCTATGGTGTACATGGGCTGCAGAATCCGAAAGGATTGAATGGCGTACGAACCTGTTCTGATCACTAATAACCATGGGAACGCAGTTACTCTGGCCTTCTTGTGGATAAAACTTCAAATCAAAGGCTTGAGGTGTAACCCGTCAAGACAACCACCTGCTTTGCTCTGGGCTTCCGGGTAGTATCCCAGTCGTCGCATAAACTGAGGTTCTGTGTGTCACATCTCTTGATACCCATAATGTAATAAGTTTAACTTTTAATAATAATAAACAGTTAGGTAGTGCGAAACTGATCACTGGACTTAAATTTGATATCCACAATCATTGCTACACACTGATCAATTTATCGACGATTTAACTGAGACTTCAATTGACTTCTAGGTATTCCATATTCTAGGTAATTAGCTGCTAGAATGCTCATAGAGTAGACACGTCTAATTATCCACTCAGTAGCCGATAGCAGTTACACTACATTTTGTGGAGACGTGAATCATCCGTTTAAACTCTCACCTTTCGGATAAAGCGGGTCTCGCTTCATCTGTTTCAACCTAACATAAAATGTGTGTCCCGTGGTTTAGCCCATGAAATATATTTCAGGTAACCGAACTCTGGCTATACACCAACGTTTGCGTGTTGAACCTTGACAGATGTGAAATATTTTGGACCTATGACCAATTGGATGAATGTCGAAGGCTAAGATGTAATCAATAGACGAAAACAATTTATGAGATTTAAATATGTTCTCACTACTAATGCTGACCAAAAAAATATAACTGAAATAATTAACCCAAAAAGAAAAAGAAATATTTATCAACAACCTTCTTTCATTTCCATGAAGTTGGCAGTGAGCCAGACAGCTTACTTGAGAAGCTAATATCAGAGACTAATATCAGAGATCAGATGTATAACCTGAATGTGTTTTAATTTTACAAGGATACTTTAACTGGTATACATGAAAAAAAATCGGCGATTAATATTAAGTAATAAAGAAATTACCTTCAGTATATTAATACATCCATGCTCTAATAGACAGTTAGCCAATAATACCCAACACGGATTCAAAGAATACTGACACGACGTTTTCTTTGTCGTCGACAGTGTTAGTGGTATAGTTGATGATGATGATGTTAATTTTTGATTGTATAATGATTTTCTTGTAGACTGTGTAGCAGCAGCATAACTAATTCGACGACGTTTTCCTGATATGATGAAATCATTGTCCTCTCCGCTATTATACTGGCTGCTAATAGTATTATCACCATCATTAACAACTGCAGTAGTATTAGCAGTAGTATAATTAGCATCCCCATGAATTATAATCATCTCTGATTTTGTCTGTATACTACTCATCAATTTTTCTACACTATTCATCACGCCTTCTTTATCATAATCATCCCCGTAGGCTAGACTAACACCGAGTTCATTTGAATTATGCCATAAATGACTACCGGAGAAGGTATTTCGAACATAATTTAATAAATTTGCAAATTCATCATCATCAATTACATCTAAACCCGGTGAATCTAATAGACCAGATGACCAGGCTTCAGATAACCAATCGATAATATTGAATTTTGCACACTTGCCTATAATATTGTTATTATTATTATTATCTGTTGTTATAAATTGTTTCTTTTGATATTTACTTAATTGTAACAAACATTCTTCTTGACGTGATGTAAAAGCTATTCGACTTAGATTGTAGAGGCAATCATCATATTGTTGATGTTGTTGCGAAGAAGGATTACGAGTAGCAGTAAAAGAAAAATTTAAAGTAGTATTGTTATTAGCAGCAGCAGCTATTGCATCATCTGTCCATAATACAAGACAATGAAAGGATAATGACGATGGTCGTAGAAATACTTCTGGTATTGGTCTTGGACGTTTACTACCCCAACCACCACCACCACCAGCAGCACCATTGACTATAGACATTCGCTTAACACTACCATTCGATGAAAACTTTGAAGCAGGATAAACTAATGACGGAGGATAGGCTTCACAACATTTAATTAGACTAGATTCACGTTGAACTACACGACTCCAAAATGACATTAGACTTGATTCAATCAAGTAGGTATGCTGAAAAAGTAAAGAAAAAGGAGAAAAAAAGACAAACGATCGTTGAATTTTATGCTATGGCTAACCAATTGCAGGATTGGGTTAAATACTTCAAATGATAGTCATCTTATGCTAAATGGTTAGTTTATATTAAACCTACGCTAAAAGCTGACGATGATTTAACTCATATTTATTCGGAATAATGAGTATCCTCAGTGTTAACAGAATCTAAAATATTAGACAAGCAACGAAATTAGAAGTCTTCAACCGAATACTTTACATACAGGGATATATATTATTGTCTCCTTTAGTTGCTGGAGGAATGTAGGACTTCAGCCACACGTCTACATTGCCTTCAGTTCTCCGCCGACGTTTCCACCTAGCTCCACCTCTGCCCACATGCTTTCATCTCCTCTTCACACGACCTCCTACATGCCACCCTCTCAATGACGACCAACTCGCCGCTACCCATTCGCCTTCCAATCGAGCGATGACCTGGTGTGTGATATCGCTTGGTGGCTTTCTAAGAGTATGGCCAATCTACCTCCATTTCTTCCTGCATATTCCTTCCACAATTGGATCCTGCTGGGTTGGTTCGTTGCCAGAGAGAGAAATACCTGTTGCTGATCTTTTCTGGCCGGTCATCTGATCTTGAGCGAAGTATTGAGCGAAGACAGCTGTTGATCTCCACACAAAGACTTGAGAGTAATGAAAGCTTGCATTGCTTTCTCGATTCTCAATTTTACAACAGTTCACAATTTAACCTCTTTATTTATGGGAACACTGATTTCCCAATACGAATTTAAAACAGGCAATGAAGGTTTATAAAGGAGAATTTGGTTGAAGGTTGAAGCAGAATTCAATGAATTCATCAGATTTCGGTAGAACTCCTCTTCAGCTGAATACCTTTACATACAGCTATATATGTACTATTGGAAATACCTTGGAAGATATAAGACTAATAAGCGAATAAACTATGTTGAATTAATCATGCAAAACGACAGGTATGAATGTTTTTCAGACTATGATTAAAACGATGAGAATGGATTGTGTGAGTGATTAAAATTAAGATAAAAATGCACTACGGTTCAATTACATCATTAAGATAAACAATGAGTCATCAGAGGAAGAAATTAAATATATCAAGAATTACGAACTTAGAGTTAAGATACCGCTACTGATAAAAGATAGTTTTAAATGAATCAGAAATAGTAATAATAATAATAAGAGGTAGAATGAAGTATTAATAATATTAATAATGATAACAGTTGGTAAGCAAAACATATTACCATGGTAGATTCAAAGTGACGATCATTTCCTTTTGTACATACACACACACAGACTTGGTTTATAAACTCTAATTGAACAAAGCCTCCGCAACTGCAAGCATCCACTTGTTTGTTTGGCTGCTGGCGGACAACAGTGAATGACTTGACAGTGTATCGGGAAATAAATGTTTCCAACAATCCAACTATCAGAAAGACATGCTCACTCGATGCACACTGCGCATTTACATTAGAAGGAAAAAGTAGTGTGAAAAAGGTGGAGTATAGGGGAAAATGAGTTCCTGTGACCATTTGAAGTTCGGCCAAACAACCCAGTATGTTTACACAGCTAAGACTGTCAACACATTCAGCGACTTCCTAGATTTATTCATAAGTAAAAACACAGTTTTTGTTCAGCGAAGAAATTTCTTTTCAATGACATGAAGACAACACTTGACATTTTTAAAACATTTTTGATTTCAATTCACTTATAAAACAATCTTTAATAATTTTGTAATTTATCCACTTCAACTCTACCCCTTATAACATTTTAATTATCGTTATTCTTATCACATATATGTATATTGACTGAGCAATTATTTAGTGCCACTTAATGACCTTTTGTGTAATATAAATACGACTGTACAGCTTGAAAATGAAGTCGTTGGAAAGAAATTTCTTCGCTGAACAAAAACTGTGTTTTTACTTCCTAGATTGCTAGTTACTATTACTGTCTTCTTTGAAACTTTATCCCACCTATCTTAAACATCACACGTTGAAAACAGACACCGTGAGTAGGAGGCATGCGTAACACATATCTCAGGTATTTGTTAAATGGAAATCTTTCATTTCTTCTCTGAAAGACCCAAAATACCCTGCATTAAATAACAGGCGGCCTGCCTGAAACTTGGGTCACCAATAATATACTACATATGATTTCTCCTATTCAGTTTGTTTAAATCTAGTAAAATATGACCTCTAATAGAGTGGTTTACTCTGGCGAATGTTTAAAACATTTACAAACTGCGGTTTCACAAGTATCTACTAAACATGAGAAAAAGCATCAGCCTCGATGGATGGCAGCCTAACCCAATAAATAAGACAACTGTTCTTGATTGGTGTCCTTGGTTTACAAAATGTACTCCTCAACCTTTTATAGTTGACATTCCACAAAGCGTTATCGTGTATTTCTCGAAGGAGGAAAAGAAAAGATATCATCATAATGATGGATTGGTTTGCGTTTCAGGTCAGATCGAACTGTGTCACACGATCTGCTGTCAATTAATGTTGGATTTGAAGATCATGGACGAAGAGAAGATAGCATGCAATAGAACTTCGCTGAAAATTCTGTACATTATATGAAAATTGTTCAGAATAAAGCGTCGGTGGCATAGCGGTTAGGACTCTCGCCGACCATGCACATGGTCCGGGGTTCGATTCCCTGCTGACCCATACCTGATATCAATGGTCAGCCTGCAAAATTTGGGTTACCGATATCGCATGCTGAAAATTCCATACGTGTACCAAAAATACTATGTGGTTTCAAGCTATAAAAAAAATTTTTTTAAATTCATTATAACTGGTTACAGGATTTCATCATGAGCTGATATCGGTTAGAGAAGCATTGGAAAATCAGCACCGGAGTACTGGACAGGCGTTTCGTCCCAGGTTTTCCAATGGTTCTCTAACCGATATCAGCTCATGATGACATCCTGTAACCAATCAGTTGAATCCTTACAAACCAATACTTGAATATTATTGTTATCAAATATATTACACGATTCAGACAAATTACGTCTTCTTATTGCTTTGTCTAAATTCATAAAGGGGACTAATTATTTTAAATTATCATTATTATTATTATTTGGATATTTTAATACTGATTTAACATACAGTCCCAAGAATAAAATAAAAACTTACTAATAATTGAGCTTTTTGAACTGGAATAGACGTATCGAAAATGGCAATGAATGTATTATCAGACCTATAAATTAAAACGATTAATAGTTTTAGAAGGTTTATCCAGAGAATTCTTCATATATATATATATATATATTAATTTTTGTAAGAAATGATCCACTATAAGAGCAGGTGAATTATTTGACAAAAAAAGTAGTAAGGGATCAGAATGAACTGTCTACTCTGCACACATAGTTTGAGGTGAGACCACATTACTATACTCTGAAAAGTATTCATTATCACAGTGTGACTTAGTTGACACAATAAACAGTGTTAATATTGCGAAGTGAAACTAGTCAACACATCCACTCATTTCGATCAGTAGTTTTAAACACGAAGTTGGTGCACACTAGTTCATAAATTTTAAGGTGTGGAGGAATAGTAAGCCGAACGTAGTTAAATCTTACTTCAGAGCATTTGCATGACTTTATTTCACCTGAAAGGATTGTATCGTTTGCATTCCTGCAGGATACCACTATCTGTCATTTAAAATGACGTTTTGAAATCTATTATAAAATTGTATTTTTATTATTGTTATTATTCCCAAGTGGAACAACATACAGCTTCACCAGCACAGCTCCACTTTGTTCTACTTTCTGTTGTCGTCTTCAGGTGGTTCCATGATTGCACATAATCTCTCATCTCCTCCATGTCACTCTCCTACATATTTGTTGAGCAATAGGTTGGTTTGTTCTGCTACAGTTTCTTATTGGTAATTCTTTCTGACCGGCTATTTGATCCTGTATATGGAGCTAGCGAAGGGGGCAGCTGTTGATACAGGTTTGCAAAAGACTGTTGGAAATGCTTTCCGTGATGCGCTGGCCAACTTCCTCACCCATATATAGAAGCACTGACTGATTGACTTAACATTGATTTCGAAAATCCAAATCTTGTTGTTTATGCTGAGGCGTAGTGCAGATGACTTCCAAACTTGTTTCAGATTGATGAAGGTGTATCTTGCCTGCTTTGACATCTTCATATGTTCCAACTGCCAGTAGTTGAAACAGTGCTTCCTAGATTTGTGGAAAAAAGTAACCTCTGTTAAATTTCTCCAGTTGATGGTGATTGGTGCTGGTGTTGTTGTTGCTGTTGGTTGGTTATTATCACCATCTCCGTTTTCCCTGTGTTCATCTGGAGTCCTGTCTTCGCTACCTGCCAAGTTCTCCAGGCAGTTTGTTGCTTTACTCCTGTAATTCTTCGAGTTTGTGTGACACTAGACATATACCATACACGCACGAAATCCAGACTTTCTAGAGTCTTCTTGTCAGTGGTCCAGTGTATTCCTGTCTTCTCACATCCCACAAGCCTGACGCATAATCCAGTTCACCACAATTAAGAATAACATCGGTGACAATAGGCAGTCAGCCTTGTCTTACTCCTGTATGCACTTCAAAGGCTTTGCTGAGTTTTCCGTTATGGACCACCTGGTGCGTAGTAGTGTCATATAGCTGTTGAATGAGGTTGATAAGGATTTGGATCACTGCACTCCGAAGTGTTGAAGTAGTTTCCCAATTACTTCTCGGTCAATGCTTTCTGTTGAAGGCCTTTTCGAAGTCGATGAAGTTGAGGTAGAGAGAGGTTTGACTGTCATTCTATGCTTTGTTCTGTGATGAAGATGAGTAGAGTTGCAATTTGATCAGCACATGATTTACCTGCCCTGCCCTTGCTTGGCAGCTTGACAAGGTAACCTTTCTTCCCTCCAAGCATTTTGCAATAATGGCGTGAAAACATCTGCCGTAGTCTCTGGGTCCGTTTACAGTGCTTTAGGAGGAATTTCCTGTGGCCTTGATGTCTTCGCAGCTGGCTCTCAGTAGCTTGATCGCATTCAGGTTTTTTGCTTTCATTAGAGTACTGGTGTCCACCAGTAAGCAGTACTGTGCGTACTGTTTGTGGTATTTCCTGGCGAGCTACAGATGATGGTCCTCCTCAGAGAACACAAATAAATCAAAATCATGCCCATCTGAGCTATTTTCAAAGCAACATTGCTTCAATTGACATAACCTTTCCACAATTTATTAAAATCATCAACACTTAAAATAGCCTTGAAAAGCGTAAATATGATATAAAATCAATAAAAAAACAATGCATTTTGAGCCTACCTTATATACGTTGGCATTTGTGCATGATACCATCGATCTAAGTCGAATAGACCAATACGAATAATGGATTCAGAGAATTTCCACATAAAAGCAATCAAGCGTATTGTTCCAATAGAATGATTCACTGAGCTATGATGATGATGATGGTAATGATGAGGATGAGGATGATTACTATTGTCTACAATAAAATCATCAAGTCCATGAAGCGATTGAACAGAAAGCAATGTGGATGGATATTGAGGCTTAGTGTCGTCTGTTCTGTTACCAGATAGTGTAGTAGACAAACGTTCTGCGATACCAATCAACTCCTAGGAAAGAAATCAATCAGTAACTTATTAAATAGTCAGTAGAACAACTGGATCTCGTCTTTCCAACTCATATCATTTATAGGTACAACATTTTCTTTCTTTCTTTTCCTTTTCTCTCTCTCTCTTTTCTCTGTTATGAGCTGCTTTGTTTCTTTCTCTCGTTTATGCCAGTAAATATGCTAGCATATACTTTTCTAACACCTTCAAACACTGTTCAACTTTGGCTTTGTTACCAACATGCCAATATGTTGTTGTCATAATGAAGTGAGATTTCCTTAATCTATTTAGAATTCTATTTATTGATAATGTACTAACTGGATGCAATACTGTAGTAAAAATGCTGAGAATTCCATTCTGTATCACATGTACTGTTTCGGAATAAAGCAAATTATTATTATTACTTTTCTTTTTTAATAACTTTGTCACAAGTAAGAATAGAAATTTCTGTATAGTTGTGGTGCCCTCCGTCTCTCTGTCTCTCCCTCAAATGTGCAATAAAAATAAACAGTTTAGATCAACAAGTTTTAATACAGAAAAATTATACAGATCACAATATATTTTCAAACGCATATAGCATTGTCGAACTGGTTTCAACGTAGAACTTTGCACAGATGTGCAACAGTTCGAGTTGCAACTCCCCCCCCCCATGTAGCACAAAAAGCAAGAAAAGAGAGTAAAGAAAGACTCATTAAAATAGAGATAATAAACAGAAGTGTGAGTGAGGGGAAAAGATTAGTACTATGGAAGAACAAAGAGTGAATGCACCTCCACCATCATCGAGAACGAGGATTTCCAGCCATATCACCAATTGTCTCCAACCATTGGTTTATACAGTCCAGAGGACCCCAACCAGGAAGTGTGCACCTTCCTACATGGCTTTCACCAATAGACTCCAGACATTTGGTTCTTAGAGTCACGAGGACATTAAACTAACTTATGAATTTCATTGACTGATGAAGCCATGTTTTGGTTTGACCACCACTAGTAAACTCTTGTCCAACCTCATATATCTTATGTCAACTACCATTGCCCGTCGTCGAGGAAGGTGATGGCTAGACATGCATGCGCAACACATGTCTTCTTTCTTCTTTACTTCGGCTATCTCCTACGGAAGGATGAGCCGGCTTCATGAACATCTCGAATCATCGCTGCCCAGGCGCGGCGATCTGTTGCAAGGTTTTGCGACAAGGTAAGAGAGTTCATGAAGTTTCATGGGAATTTGGTACGAGTGATGTCCCCACAATCGCTCGGCCTTTTGTTTGAGAGTGCAGCTCTAGCCTTTACACAACCAAGTGTGACCTACAAGGCAGTAGGAGTGGAGTAGGGAGTCCACTATCCATTGGCAGCCGGTGACCAGAGTTCGGTTCATACGCCTTTTTGAATGGGGCCAGACATCCAGGACATCCAACAAGCCCTTTGTCCATACGTCTGCCGGTGAGCTTCATACGCCAGTCGTTGGAGGTTTGGAATCAGGGTTTAGCCATCTCCCCTAGACTGTCATCCAATGGACAGTCAACCCGGAGAAGAGCGCCGGGCATCCGCTTTCGCCCTCTCACTTTGGTGAAAAACACCTCCGCCACGTGAAGGCAGTGAGTAGGACTTCCTCAGGAGAGGCTATGTAAGACGCCCGGTCATATGGGAGCATTTCAAGAGGTGTGCGGAGGGGTGGCCAACCCGCAGCGCAAGGCACCCACCCCCGACCATCCTGAGGCTTTGGAGGCTGGGGGCCCAGCCGGGACAACACATGTCCTAACCATCTTGATCGATTCACCTGCTTCACAACCTCGTCGATTGATTTTCAATCCTTACCTAGCATTCAAAAGAAGATTAACCTTACTACTGCTCACCTTATTATACCACTTAACACGGGAGACCGAACACAGGCACCTATGATCAAAGACAGCTAGCCAGACTTTTCATATCTTCTACTTTCAATGGTCAAGTCTCACTGATAGCCATAAAGAGGGACGGAGCGAACTGTCGCTGAGCATTTTCGAGCATTTCCTGCTATTGTTGAACAGCAGGAAGTAATTCCCCTCAAAAGAAGCGAATCTCTTAAAAGCCTAAAATGATATCTTAAGACATCAAAAAGCCAATCAATCATATGACAGCTGTTGACTTGATAATTTTATTTCAAAGAATCTAAACCCATTAGGTACGGATGAAAGAAGACAAAACGACCAAGTTTCAAAAACCTTAAGTCACAGATCCATTCAATGAAAGACTGTACGCCCGATTTCCTGAGACGGAGTTTTTAACGCAGAACATTGTATAAAAGTGCAGCAATTCAAGTCGTCACACTCTATACAACACACATAAGTAGCGGAAAAATACAAAAAACTGGAAGGAACTACAATGATCAAAGGGAAGAATAATTACACTGGGATTAATGAGAATTTGATGGATGTGGGAGATCACAAAGATTGAATGCATCTGCACCATTGACAACAATTTTCAGCCATATCACCAATAGACTCGAGACATTTGGTTCTTAGCGTCCCGAGGACATTAAAGGCTTCGTGGATTAATGCCAAGTCACGGTCTCAACCACATGAGGTACGGATGAAGATGTTAAAGCCAGCCAGAGTCGGAAGGGCAAGATACGCCTTCACTAACCTGAAACCAATTTGGAAATCTTCTGCATTCCGCCTTAGCCATTAAGAAGAAGATTTGGATTCTCAAAAAAAATGTTACGTCAGTCAGTCAGTTCTTCTATACGGGTCAGGAACTTGTGCTGCATGTCATGAAAAAGAATTCTGACAAGCTACAGACATTTATCAACATCTTCCGCCTTCGCTGGCTCCATATTCAGGATCAAATAGTCGGCCAGCAAGAATTAGCAACAAGAAGCTCTTTAGTGGAACAAATCAACAAACAGCCGATCGCTCAACAAATATGTAAGAGAAAATGGAGATGGATCGGGCATAGGTTAAGGAGGCCGTCAAATGACATCGCGAGTAATGCGAGCCATCACTCGAGTAGAATCCCAATGGGAAGCGACGAGTGGGTCGTCAGTGAGAGGGTGACACGAGATCGTGTGAGGAAGAGATGAGAGAGTCTGGTCAATCGTGGACCCAGCTGAAGATGACAGCAGAAGATAGAACAAAGTCGGGCTGTGGTGTTAAAGCCCTATATTCTACTCGGAACCCAGTGAAGTAATAATAATAATAGAAGATGTTTCCAATGTAATCCTAGGTAGGCTGACATTGACTGTCGATGAAGACGATGCCTCGGAATGTGCATCTCAGTCGATTCAACACACCACAACCTCATCAACAGACTTACCCTCCTTGCCTAATACTCTACGTTTAACCTCAATACTACTATTTTATTCCACTTAACACGGGCAATGGAACGCGAACATATATGGTCACAAAGATAGCTAGCCTTTCCATATCTTCCACTTTCAATGACTATGTCTCGCAGTCATAAAAGAAAATAGAGTGGACTTCTGCACAGTGAGCAAATCATTTGATGGATAACTCGATATCACGACTACGTCAGAGTTGAAGTAATTTGGCAAATATTATATCAGACTTTCGTATCCGTGCCATGTGTTATCAAGCTCAGCAGAAATAGAATAAATAAAACTCCATGAGTAATTACTAATTTACTCATGTTTATATGTCTAACATTGAATGGATTTACACAAGTCAATGCTAATAGCATCATAATTTATGTGGAAGAAATTATCTAGCTAAAATTACCGAACATAATGCTTCACCAACAACGCTAAAAAAACAAACAACCGTAATACAAACTGCCGATGATATGAGATCAGGAGAATATCACACTCAACATGCATAACACAAATCAACTAAACTGCCAACCTCATAACAGTTAGTGAAGCTACATTTCTCATATTAATCTTTCAAACATATTTATATCACAAATAAAAAGTAAAGAATTCATTTATTTCTAAAAGTGGCGCATACTACTGACAAGATTTACCAGTAGTATATAATCAGACGTTCATCGGAACACGAAAGGTATCAAATTGCAGAGGGATAGATTTCACGTCAAAGAGAGCAAATGAACCAGTATATTGCGGAAAAACATGAGAGACGCGGAAAGAAGACAAAGAAATACAATACAAAGGAAAGGAAAGGAAGAAGTAGCAAGCGCAACACGGAAGATATGTGCAGTAAATGACGATTTGCAGATAAGGTGTACATAATTTCCCTGCATAGATAAATCGAATTGACAATAAACATTCTGTTACCAAGTTTCTTATCTTCTCCCGTTACAAGTGGAAATTCAGAGTGGATAGTTTGAACGAATAAATATATATATTTTTTTAAACTTTCATGACGAACTGACATTAGTTATAGAACTCCTACAGACTAAGGTGCACTTGTTTTGTGAAATTACATTTTTTTTGTCAAGGCATCTGACTACCGAATGAAGAATATTTATTATTACTATTCCCTTGAGTTTCCAGTGGAACATAGAGCTTCAAGGAGACGTCTCCCGTTCCCTGCACTCCTCTTCAGCTGGCCGCCCCATGATTGCCCATAATCACTCATCTCCTCCATGTCACCCTTGGAAGTCATTTTCAACTCGGATGAAAGAATATACTAAATATTAATCCAATTTCAGTGTAAATTCCGTCACTAACCGACATCAGTCAGACAACTGTTGGAAACAAAAAGGCTCATCGATGACATTAGCTGGTGGCTGCACCATATCGTGAAAGCATACAAGTTACAATTCAAGAGTTATTGTATCTCAACCTACTGGCTGTATGGACAGTGCTCTAGGCTTATAACCTGATGGACTTGGGTTCTGCTTTTGATTCAATTGTGGATGAGAACTGCTGACGAAACAGTTGCCCAATAATACTCCCCTTGTTTTCAATGATCCCCTGACTATTGTCAGTTCACGATCAAACACCTACACCAAAATTAATCAAAATCCTAACAAAGCCAAGAATTTAAAGTTATCACAAGACCGCCTGATTGGCAATATGAAGACTAGGCATACGGGAGAATAAGTAAAGTAAAACAGGCAACAACTAACACGGGTTTTTTTCGCACTGACTGAATTGGCTACAATATACGTTACATATGTCGACTCAAACACCATTAATACACACTTGACGTCAGTGGGAGTACAATTAATTTGAAATCAATAAATGATCATTATATATATAGATATATAACACGTAGGGGTTACCTGATAATAAAAATTATATCCCTTGTGTTTATGAGACACTAGTTCATAACGACGCCTGTAGGACAACTGGAACAGTTTGACTGTGGGACTAATTTGAAATTAGAAAACAAAAACAAGTAAATTAGAAACTAAATGGTTCTAATAGAAAAGAATAATACTTAATCTTAAAAAATTATGAATAATAACAGTATTCATCTATTAAATACGATAGTAGTATAGTTCTTGCCTTTTCAGTAAGATCCAAGGTGAAAATATGATAACATTCAAAGACTTACCTTCACTTTGCTAGGATTTACTGTTGCCATTGTAACAACAGAAGACAAGGGCCAGGCAACTGATCTTTTATTTACGAAATTTATAAATTTTCATGTACATTATTATAGATTACTGTTAGCAGAAAAACACAGTCTTCTGATTGGTTGTTTCTTCACTGAAAGTTAATCTTTCATCTCTTTGTGGCTGTTTCTTGAATGTCAGATCATCCATATGCTAACTGTATCCGCCTACGCAAAGTCTTTGTTCATATTTTTCTCACGACCAATATTGGGGACATAAACATTGACGTAAATTGCTGTCTACCAACTTTGGCTAGCAGCCAGCTCTCACCACACCATTATACAAAAATAATCAATTTAGCATGAGCTTCAATAATATACATTATACAAACCTTAAAGATAGGGAGAGAAGTCGTAGAGCACTTCACTTATGTGGGAAGTTGCATTGGATCCACTGGGTTGATGGCTGACAAAATCTCATCACGGATACAAAAGGTTAGTAAGGCATCCGGAAAATTACGCTATCTCTCGCGTAGACGTGATATCCGGTTATTCATTAAAGGAGGGTGTTTACTGGTGAGGAATTCGCTCCCTCCTCCCTTATTGCTTTGAGGCATGGCCATTGGAGTGCAAGATACGAAAAGTTTAGATGTATTTGATCATAGGTATCTATCTGGGTTCTGCCTCCCATGTTTGTCGGTATAAAACGGTGATAATGAAGTTAGGTGTAGAGTGCTCTGTCTGGATTCAACATAGAACTTGGCACCGAAGTGCAACAGTTCGAGTTGCCACGTTCCAAATAGCACACAAAGGTAGACAAGAAAATGAGCGATGAAGAGAATCAATAGTTTTGACAAGTATAAGAGTGAAACAGAATGAGTAATGGTAGAAAGGAATATGAAAGATTACAGAGACTGAATACATCTGCGTAAGCCATTGACAACGATTTTGAGCCATGTCACCTATTGTCTCCAGCCATTGATTCTTAGAGTCCCAAGGGTGGGCCCCAACCCGGAAGTCTGCATCTCCCTACCTGACTCAGTTTAACTGTCAAGGATCTCATGGATTGATGAGGCCATGTTTTTGTTTGGCCACCACTTACTCTTTTCCAACCTGCACCTATATCAGCTAGTAATGCCCTTCGGGGGAGACGATGGTTAGGCATGCGCAGCACGTGGCCTAACCATCTCAATCTATGTAACTTTATAGCCTCTTCGAGTGATTTTCCCTCTTTGCCCAACACTTTACGCCTAACGTCAACATTACTTACCTTATTATACCACCTAACGCGAGAAAGAGATCGTAAACATCTGTGGTCAAAAACAGACAATCTCTTCATGTCTTCCGCTCTCAATGGCCATGTTTCACCGCCATAGAGAAGGACGGAGCGAACTGCTGAGCAGTATACACGTCCCTTGGTTAATAGTGGGATGTCACGCCTACGCCAGAGACGGTGTAAGCTAGCGAAAGCAGCCCGAGCTTTCTGGATCCGTGCTGTGATTTCGTCACCAATCAATCCGTTGGTGCTGATACAACTTCCTAAATAGGTGAAGTGGTCAACATGTTCTATCACTTCACCCCCTATCACTAAGCTTGGAGTTGACGTAGTCCAGTCCTGTAGCAGCATCTTACATTTCACAGGGGCGAATCGCATGCCAAACATACGAAGATTGCTGCTCAAGGTGTTCAGAAGACTCTGCATTTTGTCAGCGTCCTCCCCTAACAGGACTAGTTAAGGGGGGGGGGAAGTCAATCGATAAGGTTGTGAAGCGACATAGATTGAGACGACTGAGACGTGTTATGTATGTCCAGGCCATCGCCTTCCCCGACAAGCAGTGTAAGCCGACATAGGATCAGCTCACGGGTGGTCAGAAGAAAATATAGAATCAGTCCATGAAATCCTTAACAGTTAGTTTCAGCCATGTAGGGAAGTGTTGGGCTTCCTAACTGGCTTTCCCGGGATGCTAAGAACCAACTGGTTAGAGACAATCAGTGGTATGACTCAAAATCCTAGTTAATTGCGTAGATACATTCAATCTCTGTGATTTCCCATACATATTAAACCATAATGTTTCTCCTTTATAATATTCCTTTTCTCTCAATTTTCTACACATTATAGTCCTTTTGAATCCCCCTTTTTCTCCCTCTGTGTACTACATGCAGTGTCACAGGTTCACTTCTGTGTAAAGTTTTCGAGGTTGAAATTCGGTCTGACAAAATTTTTCTGCTCATAGTAATATACGCATATATATACACCCAAGATCAATCCAACATGGGAGAAGATAATAACCATTTAGATATGATCGAAAAGATTTGTAAGTCACATGAATGATTTTAACGTAGTTGGGTTCTCCAGACTGGAAGGTTTATTTGAGAAGCTTTCATTGTCTCACCACTAGGCAACATCTTCAACGCATACTTCAATTTCTTGGAGTCAGCTTTTAAGTTTCTACACGAGTTTAGTAGTCGTCTCTCCTGGTGACCTTGGGTGACCTCGGACGTGATTGGTTGATTTTGTGGGTTTTCACACCCTCTAGGCTAATTGTATTCATATTAGTATAGTTATTGTTTCCTTGACCTGAAGTGTGACATTTTGTGCATGAGATTTTACCCCCATGGGTTGGTAAATTTTATCTATGTCAATGTACCTGTGAATTGGCGATTCACTCGAATACCAGGCTTCAGAAATTCCCCCAGCATTTTAGTGTTTTCCCCGTCTAATATTTGAACATTGTCCCAGTCGAATTAATACCCATGGTTGTCTGCATGTAGCAATATGAGGGAGTGGATATCATCATGTCTTTTGACGACTAGTTTATGTTCGTATGCGCTGAAGATATTGCATAGTAGTGCAATGAAAGCTTCGCAAATAAACCATCCAGCTCATAGAACACATCTAAATCAAAATAATAACCACTTAGATGACTAACTAACAATCTAGCTAATATACGTTGCGCCTCTAATATAATGTGAGTTTTATCTTTATGTTAGACTATAACAACAACATCTTTAGTTTTGTAGCAATGTTCATGTGATAATATGTGAGTAACGCTGAGATGAAAAAAATGTAGAGCATTATAGATAACAAAGTAAGTTAGTAAATCATAAAAAGGCCACAACACTGCATCGGTGGCACAGCGGTTAGGACTCTCGCCGACTATGCACATGGTCCGAGGTTCGATCCCCGACCGCCGCACATCTGATATCAATGGTCAACCTGTTAAATTTGGGCTACAGATATCACATGCTGAAAATTCCATATTTGTAACAAAATACTGTGTGCAATCAAGCTATAATAATAAAAAATAATAAATGAGATAAATATGGAAGTGCACCTGATAGGGGAAAAAAGTCAAAGTGTAAAATAAAAAACGGGTAAATTTACTTTTGAAAATTAGAAGAATCTTGTTTCCCAGTGAATTTGAATACACCAGATTCATTTTCCAATCTCGACGACTGCCAACCAACCCATATAAAACAACAATATCTTGGGTCATCAGATGGTTCTAAAAAGCTGAAATTCACCACTGGTGTAGCTGGAGTAGCTTGACGTAAACAAAATCTAAGATATAAGGGACAAAACAAATTACAAGTATAGTCAGTTTAATAACATTAAAAGGAAATTAACTGGAATGATGGTTTGACTTGATTTTATTCAATTCAGTGAAAAACCCTTTAAGAAACACAGGCGGATTCTAATTAAAGTCATGGATCTGCGCATACAAATAACTAAACACTCCACTTACTGATATTCAGCTGCCAGTTTAGTATTATTATTATTTTCTCCTTTAGTTCCTAGAGGAACACAGGGCTTCAGCCAAACGTCTCCATTGAGTTCGGTTCTCCGCCAACGTTTCCACCTAGCTTCACGTCTCCATCTTCTCTTCGCATGGCCTCCTCCATGTCACCCCACCCTCTCACTGACGACCAACTCACCGCTTCCCATTCGGGTTCCACTCGAGTGATGGCCTGGTGTGTGATGTCACTCACTTGATGGTTTGTTTTCTCAGAGTATGGCTAATCCACCTCCATTTCTTCCTGCATATTTGTTGCACAATTGGTTCCCGCCGGGTTGGTTCGTTGCCAGAGATCCCTCTTGCTGATATTTTCTGGCCTGTCATCTGATCTTGAGCGAAGTATTGAGCAAAGACAGCTGTTGATGAAGGTGTGTAGTTCGTTTGAAGTGCCCTTCGTGACGCGGCGCTGTGCTAAGTCTCTGATTCTTATAGTAGCACTGGTGACCTTGGGTGACCTTGAACGTCATAATTGGTTGCTTTCGTCTGTTTTCACATCCTCTAGTCTACTTGTATTCGTATTGATTGTTTCTTTGACCTGAATTGTGACATTTTGTACATGAGATTTTTCCCCATGGGTTGGTAAATTCTATCTATGTCAATGTACCTGTTAATTGGCGATTCACTGGAATACCAGGCTTCAGAAAATCCTCTGGTGTTCTTAGTGTTTCCCCCGTCTAATATTTGAACGTTATCCCAGTCGAATTGATGTCCATGGTTGTCTGTATGCAACGATATGAGGGAGTGGATATCATCATGTCTCTTGACGACTAGTTTGTGTTCGTGGATGAAAAGATGAAGAGGGCGTCCGCCCTAGCCAATGTAGTGTTCTTCGCAGTCGTTGCAATTTATTTTGTAGATGATGTTGGTTTTATCTTCTTTCGTTGTTGAGTCTTTTAGGTTGACACAGACCCAGCTGAGTGAAGTGATTTTGTTAGTTTGTGTGTGACATCAATTCATAAAGGTTTGAAAATTCTTGTAGTGATTTCTGAGACGTCCTTTATATACGGTAAGATAATTTTCTTTGCGTTTTCCTTGAAGACCTTTGATTTGTTTGGTTGGCTTGGGGTAGATTTCTTCTGATGAAGTTTCGTGAATATCCATTCTTTCGGAGGACGTCCATGAGATATTTTTCTTCAATTTTCCTTAAGGTAGGAGTGCTGCAATGAGTCCTGGTCCTCTTGAATAGTGTTTGTATACAACTCCTTTTGTGTGTTATTGGATTGTTGCTGTTGTAATTGAGTATTTGATATGTGTGGGTTGATTTTCTGTAAACTTGAGTTTCTAATGCTCCTGTGGTTGTTTGCTTGACTAAGACGTCCAAAAATGGGATTTCGTTCTCGGATTCCTCTTCTGTCATGAATTTGATGTCGTTAAAAACGCTGTTTATTAAGTTGTGAGTTTTTTCCAACTCGTTTCTTTTGATTATTAAGAATGTGTCATCTATGTAACGTATCCAAATTTTGGGTTTGATCTTCGGTAGGCTTATGTTCTCGAGTCTTTGCATCACTGCTTCTGCAATCAAACCTGATATGGGCGATCCCATGGGTGTTCCTTTAACTTGTTCAAATATCTGGCCATTGAATTGGAAGTACGTTGTTAGGCATAGTTTTATGCATTCCATCCAACTTGTATGTTGCATTTTTGATTGTTGTGGGAGGTGTTTATCGTTGCTGAGTAATTGCTCCATGGTCACTTTGGTTAGTTGCTGTCCAATTGAAGTACATAATGCTGTGACATCGAAGGATACCTTTTTTTCTTGGTCACCTATTTGAATGCCTTTGATTTTCTCTAGAAATTGGATAGCAGATTTAATGGAATGATTGCAAGAATCCGTTAAGTGTTTCCATTTTCTGTATAGTTCTTTGGACAAATTGCATGTTGGGGTTCCTGGGAGTGACACAATTGGTCGAACCGGGATATTCGGTCTGTGTATTTTGGTTCTGCCATAGAATCGGGGTAGAACTGGTTCAAACTATAGGATACAACAAGCGTGGACAGTGAATTTACGAATTAAAAGAACAACACTTATTAACGGCCAATGGTAGGGTTTGAAGAAACGTGATGCTAGCGTGTAGACAATGAGAAGCAATACGCACACTAGCATCACACTTACTCCATATTTAACCGATTCAGTGACCATAATTGCCAGCCACCAAAATTAAAGCCAACTGCCAATCCTTGTACTTGTGGAATGTAGCTTAACGCAGAAACATAAACGCCGGCTGTAAGGAAACAAAAGTATAAAAGAATACATATTACACACATTTACCAAGAGGAAAGAAGTAAAGCAGTTATAAATTGAGGTATTTTTAAAATAATAAGCACAGGCAGCTACATTGGAATCAGTTATTTTACAGAATACACTAGGGTGAAGCTATAAATCATTGCTTAAGATACTAAACTTTTAACTAGTAGGTCACAACTTTGAAACTCCACTCCATCTACTAAGATTTCGTTGTGAAGTAGTGTGGCGTATGCTACTGACAAGACTTATCAGTAGTATATTAAACAGACGTTCATCGGAACACAAAAATATCAAATAATCTAGAGATAGACTTGACGTCGAATTGAACAAATAATTCAGCGTTGCGGCGAAACATGGGAGACACAAAACGAAGACAAAGAAATACAATACGAAGGAAAGGAAGAAGTAGCACAACACGGGGGATCTGTACATAATTTCTCTGCATAGATAAATCGAATTGACAATAAAAATTCTGTTACCAAGTATCTTGTCTTCTACTGTTACAGTAGTTTTATTTATACGTAATCATGTCGTGTACTTAATTCATAGTCAAAAGTATATATATATCTGAATAAGATAATTTTTGATCATTCAGACTGATATGGCCATACAATAAGTTATCAAAACTCACTACACAACTAAATACAATTGGTAAAAGTAGACTGAGTCATTGATCCAACAATTCTGTCAGAAAATTGTATAAATTATTTTGCAAAGATTAAAACAACTTTCAGATAAGTAGGTTGATTCAAACAAATTTAAATTCTACTTCATTTGATGATAGCTATCAGTGGGGTCCAGGGTATGCATTTCGTCCAATCAGAAACTCGTCAGTCGGATGCATTGCTTTATGGTGAGACTCGAACCCTACACCCATCGTTTCAGACCTCAAAGTATCATACACTACTAGGCCACTCAGGCTACAAGAGCCACCTCGTGTAGCAGTAGGTCCTGAGTTCGAACTTCCATTGGATGCATACCACTGAAGAGTCCCAAACTAGGACGAAACCGCTGTTCAGTACTCACTGGTTTTCCAATGGTCCTCTAACCAATGTCATTTTATGGTGAACTTCTGAAAGTTACTGTTTTATTTTTAGGCTAATTTGTATTTCCTAATGGTCAAAAGAAACTGAGCATTTTTGTCCAATGTAATCTTGGCTTGAAATTATGACAACAAAAGAACTAATCGAAATTGTGAACAATTCACTTGAAAATAGACAAGTCACATACTGAAAGTTACAGGTTATATTCTGTATATAATACTGCTTAACCCCACCTTTATACTTATATCTGCACTAATACTTTTAAAATGCAAATAAATTATTTGACGCTTAGATATGAGAAACATTTAGTGTGTGCGTGTGTGTGTGTATGAAACTTTATGATACTATCTGAATTCCTTGCCCAAAGCAGATGAGGAAGAACTCATTGATAGAAAATTATGATTTTATTCCTCTACGCCCCGAGTAGAGCATAGGGGGCTTCAAGCTAGACCTTTGAAGTTTCAGGAGCAGTGGATTTATGTTTACGCGGTGAGGTTGTCAGCCTCACGCCTAACCTTCCCTCTTGACCACGATTAACTACCGGCTTAGAGAGGTTTAGGAGTGAGACAGCCGAAGATCGAACCCCGCACCACGTGAGACGTGGCTGGCGAGTATTGAAGGCAATCAACCACGACTGATTCACTCCTTTCACAGAAACACATACAACCCAGTGTACGATTCCACCATCTTTTAGCTAACGTATAGAACTAATTGAAGAAAAAGAAATAAACGAATTTGGCTAACTGATCTGTCAATGTATAACTTAAGCTACTGCCTTCCTCGTCAACGGAGAAATCAACATAACCGTTATCACACTTCAGAAAAGCACATACAGAGGTAAAAGAAAAAAATCTAATGAAACCGAAATGGAAAAAGATGTAAGATAGGGAGAGAGACAGAATAACTTGACACCCTTGTAAACGACAAAAACAAATAAACAAATAAAACAATATTCAATTCAAGTTAGACATCCTTATTGATTGACTGGACCGAAGTGCTCGGGGCCTCAGGTTGACATGTTGGCTCCTTGTGCAGATGTCTGATTATTTATAACTTGAAGTAAATAAGTGGATGGTGACTAGCAGTGGGAACATCATCACTCACTGGAGTATGCAGATACATCCAGATGACGAGTCTTAAATGAGACGAAATGTGCATCCTGAATTCCACTGCTAGTCACCATCTACCAATTTACTTCAAAACAAAGCAATGCTTTGAAATAAATTCACATAATAAAAACTTACCAGATGGAATTGAAGATAAGGTCTTTCCACTGACAGATTTATAGGTGAAATCATTCCAACGAAGAACAGAGGCTAAAGGAAACAAATCATAAATATAATTAGTAAGTAATCTGAGAGTTAGCACTGTTAAATAATAAACTAATACAGATGAAGTGATTACAATTACGAAAATAGAAACAGCTTCAAGATGAAGTATAGTTGTCGAACAAAGCATAGAATGTCAGTCAAACCTCTCTCTACCTCAACTTCATCGACTTCGAAAAGGCCTTCGACAGACAGCGTTGGCTGAGAAGTAGTTTGGAAGCTACTTCAACACTATAGCATGCAGTGTCTAAGTCTTTATCAACTCCATTCAACAGCTGGCTGTATGACAATACCACGTGTTGGGCGAACCACAACGGAAAACTCAGCAAGGCGTTCGAAGTGCATACAGGAGCAAGACAGGACTGTCCTAATATCACTGATGCTATTCTTAATTGTGGTGAATTGCATTATGCGTCAGACTGTGGGGAACCAGGAGACAGGAATATGCTGGACGACCAATAAGAAGACTCCAGAAGATCTGGATTAATGATCACCACCCGGTCACCAATTCATATTGATAATCTAATTCTACAAAGAGATATTTGTAAGCTGTATAGCCAAGAAGATAAACTGTATAACAGTAGAAGACAAGAGACTTCGTAACGGAATGTTTGTTTGGTATCTGTATAGGGAAATCATGTACACCTTTATCTGCAAATCGTTGTTTTGAACAGATCCTCCACGTTATGCTACTACTGCCCTTCATATTAGGTTTCTGTGTCTTCTTTACATGTGCCCCATGTTTCTCCACAGTGCTGAATCATTTGCTCTCTTTAACGTCAAATCCGATTAACGTCTCTTCGTATATTACTGATAAATCTTATCACAATAGCACACACACCACAAAACCACTAACTTATTCTATTTTAATTCTCCGGTGACTGATATGAATCAGCAAATTATGCCTTTTGAACTATGTCCACATGAAATAGTATCACAGAGAACAAAGAGCCATTTACAGACAAATGAAGACAGAAAATGAAAAAAAAACTGAGGATTACACACAGCTTACCATCAAGATATACTAAAGCGTGTTCTACACTATTTTTGAATGACTGAGAGATTGGTTGTTTACACGAGACACAATTCAAACATTGTGATCTTTCAACTGCAATTGACATTTCAGGTTTGTCACTCTGCTTTTCATCACGATTATGTGATAGGCATAAATCTGAGGAAAAAGAAGGCCATACATGAATGAATTAGTTAACTTACAAGTTAACTTACATAATTAAATAATAATTGATTAAAGATGACTATTAGAAATTTCAAAAAAAGTTTGATTACTTAACAAAGAATATTCTTTTCGATAACTTCTTCTTCTTCATGAGGTTCTACAGTTATATATTTATACGCAATAATGAGTGATTGTTATTAACAACACTAGTGTGTGGCCGATAGCTGCTACCTTGACGTGGTGGTCGGGCTTGCATATCGCAATAACCCAACGAGCTACACTGGCTGGAACTTATGTTCCTGTAGGTCCTACCATGCCAGAAAGGTTGTTTGGATAGCGGTTAGACAAAAAGCAGCTACCCAATCGAACACTATGATTCAAACAAATTCACAAAATATCATGCCGGATCGGTCGGGGCCCGGATTAACAACGACCGCGCTTCCTGCTGCCGTGTCACAGGGCAGAAGTGATAAATATGCTACTGAGACACACCAAATGAAAGAGAACAAACAAAAGCAGGCCGCGTGTGACCGGCCTCAAGCAGTTGTCCCCTGAAGTCTGCGGTCACGCAACCAACTTCCACGGTGTGGGCAGCCGGGAAGTAACAACCGCCCACACACTTCCATAAGCACACGACGCCTACCTGAGCATCACTCTCCCCTACTCACATCACCTTCCTCATCTTGCTTCTCTACTACAGCTAGCACTATTCTTCAGGCTAGTGAGTCATCTTCACTTCACTCTGCGTCCACAAACAACGATGAGAGCCATAGAAACAACCCAGATAGTGTGTTTTCCAAAGATAACATCGAATCATTGACATCAGAATTCCAAAAGTTATTTGCAAACAGATTGTTGTTAATAGATTATATAGCCCCAAATACATGTATGTAGTAATAATTATAATTCTAACTCTAAATTGAACACCAATATTAAAAAATGATTATGATTATGGTAATGAATTTTCATGAGTCATGTTCATCATATTAAATTCTATTCATATTGATTATAAACTTCAAATGGATGAATGACAATGTCAGTGATGGGGTAGGGTGGGAAGAAAAAATTTGGGGTAGAAGGTTATGTGTTGTGTGTGCGTCAGTGTGTAAGTCAACAACTACGCTTAAATTAGTACAAGTGTAATAACGAGGAATAGAGCAATTTATATGTAAAGGATGGAGGGCCATATCAAACATGGTCGAAGTAATAAGGTATTTATGAATTTGCGGACTCAACAGCAGGCCACAACAGTGGTAGTAGTTGGGCCTGTTTCTTCCATACACAGAGCATCGGTTGTGTTTAAGGCGAATTGCAATAGCCTCTGATGTTTAAAGTTTTCGGTATCTGGATACTTTTGGCATTTTATTTGGTATCTGATAGATGATGGGTTCTTCAGTGCTGCCATTGTGGCCGGTTTGGAACAGGTGGTCTATTATTGAACTGTTGATGGCTTTTACTACACCTCTATTTAGCCACACTGGTGGGTCTTCCTGAGCACGAAAAATCAAGTTCCTAGAGCAGTGGCCAATATAACTCGCTTCACAAGCGCAGTTGAATCGGTAGATACAATCAGTGGCTAGTCTAGGTACTTCATCTTTCGATTGAGGAATCACCATCGGTCGTGTAGAAAATATGACTTGTAGTCCACCAGCATTAAAAGTTCTTTGAATGGATTTTCTCAAGTTAAAATGAATAATACGGCTTGTAAATCGGGTGCACCTTTTACGTACTTGGAAATGAGCCATACCTACCTGCTACGTGAAGGCTTCTATGATGATATGTGACTGTTGGGACCTCATCAGGTGAGGCGGGCCTCAAATTCTTTAGGCGTTAAACGTCTGTACTAATGAATTACAGCTATCCACAGACGGTTTGAAAAATGCAGCTGATTTGTTCACGTATTAAATTCTTAACGAATAGGTGCAGGGTTTGAAACCTATTGAGTTTACTTCGACCCGGGGACAACTTAATGGTATCCTAAGCTTTCACTGTCGCTTTAGGAGTAAAACAGCCAAGGATAAATGCATTGATATGCCTGCCTTCTTAGATTTGTACAGATTTATGAACTAAATAAGCACAACATAATATGACGGCATTTACCACACACTGTTTGAATTCTTAAATCCAGGTCAGTTGGCCAAATGTGTCTCAAAGACTGTCTTTAATATATCTGGTTTGGCAACACAGGTTAAAATACTTAGGGACTGTATGAATCAATATATAACGATTTGATTTGACGTCTTCGACGCCAGCTAGACAACTGCCTCAGGTTTTAAATTCGGTAATATGAACTTAAACTATATAGTGATTAACTCATTGTTGTGAAATTATTGATAATAAATATCCGTGATCAATTTAACCATAGAATATAACGGTATTGGACTTCTGCACTATATACGAAACGTGATGACGGGATGAGTACCTCAACCGGTGAATTTCTATATACATCTAATAATCAATATTGTTAGTGCATAGGGAGAATATACCAGTGAAGATAAATCAGATATGGGGTTTCCCCAGTGGTTATGAGTAATCTACATCCTTTGCTACGTTAGTGTCTAACCTATCATATACTCTGACGGTGTGTCGTGACATCATTTTGCGGATCTGCCAAGGGTGACGGGATAACAAGTGACCTTACAGTTGTGTTACGTGCATGTTTTCCGCCCTTAAAATCTGCCTGGTAGCTGCTACTATGACGTGTTAGTGGGGCTTGCATATAACAGTGAATCATGATGAGTACAGAGGCTCTTCATGCACATCATACTATACCGAAAAAGTCTACTGGATAGCTGTCACTCTAAAAGTAGGTACCATTATAAGTTCAACTGTTCACACCAAGATGAGAGTCTAAGGGATAAATCATACTGCTGGTGAATAGGATGCTTCCCTTCAGGTGACCAACAAGTAGCTATGCTGGTAGAAAAGGTTTACCGGAAAGTACCGATGGTACTCCGTTGTCAGCAGTAAGGTCTTCTGGACCGACGAAACTCAGTAAACTCTACTTCCATATGACGGGCCTCAGGAAATTATTTTCTTGACTCTTCAGCCACATGGCACTAACTCTTTTTCTGTTTAAAGTGTCCCAAGAAGTAATTAACCACCAAATGTGCGGAGATGGGTAATTTCAAGCATTTTCTCACCTGGAGGTCACCAACATCAAGGTGAATAGAACACCTAGCTAAAAGTTGTAGGTAGTGTCAGTGAAAGAATGCCACTCCATTTTGGACACCTGCATGAACTCCAACTATAGATTAGTCTATGTACGCTTGTGACGGTGATTGAAACAACATAGAGAGCAAGAGGGCGAGAAATCTAACCGTGCCCAGCTTCCTTTTTGAAAATCTAAGGTCTGCATCTACGGAGGATGCGACTAAAAACAACCCAGTTTATGATAACAATACTCATTGTGAGGAACCCTGATATCAATCAGTTGCCCGTGACTGATTGTTTCCAGAGTTTTCCTCATCCTGTTGTCCACTTGCATTGGTAATATTTATTTTGCTGACCTGATAGTTGACGTTTCTGTATGTGGGCTCCCTTTTATTGTTTGACAAATGACCTATGTTATATATCAATGGAAGATAATGAAAGCTTCCACACCACAGGGAACAAAACTGCAACGACATTATTCACCTGAGGTACAATTCTTTACCAACATTTCTGAACCACAAAAACCCAGACACGCTTCAGGCTCCAATAGAGTTGTTTTGATTGTATCTTTATCCTTTGACAGAACACTATCCGGCGTCAAACATTTACGATACGTATTAACAATACATATATATATATGCTTACTGGACTAAGAAGTCGACTTGCAGCCAATGGATCCCGGTTCCAATCTCGCCCCACCACCCTGAACCTAGGCAAGTCTGTAATTCTCCCAACCCTTACACAGTGTGACAAGGTGGTGTGCGAGAAATGTTTCGCGTAGTTGAATTTTGACGTGTGAAATAGCCTTAGCACAATCTCTTGTGTTGGATGGAGTGATACAATCACCAATGATGAGGTCAAGTGTGAAGTGTTACATAATGAAGAAAATTGAATCCACGAGAGAAAAGGGTTCTAAAAATTCATGCTAAACCACTACATTCCTCAGTGAGCAATGTCGGATGAAACAGGATTAGGTCAGAACAAAGCATAGCACAGAAACATAAAGCCAGTGACTGTTGGTTTGAGCAACATAGGTGGATACAGACGATCTAGCTAGGGTACTCAGGATGTCAATAATCAACAGTCGGAGAATGTTGGTGATATGGTTCAAAATCGTCTAGAGTGTACTTATATAAAGCATAGGAGTTTTACTTAAAAGGATTTTTATGAGTTTACTGAAGACTTGTTGGACAAACTATGCATAATCTATCAACTCACTGACATAGTGAACAATAACCAGCAACAACAAACATTCTTTATTGCCATTACTTATTACACAACAGATTTCCATAAGTCATCACTCGACTGTTTATGCAGAACTACCGGTAGTAATACAATATAGTCATACATGATTTTCATATTCGAACACTGGAAACGAACCGTAAAAGCCAGGTAGTACGCAGTGGATAGAAAGTGTGTAGTTCATCAGGTACCACCATATTGTGCAGCAAACATTATGATTATAAGGACAAATTTAAGGGATCTAGAGTTATTAAGTGATCATATAACCAGATAAGAGGACACGTTCGCATAATTCATAATCAAAAGAAACAGAAGGTAATCAGGAAACGGTAGAACTCATTTCTCCTAAAAACTTGTAACGCAGCATAGATTAATTTTCTAAGTACTCAGATCTATGTTTTTAGAATTGCATAATGTACGTTAGTATTATATAATATCGAAGTTGAGAAAAATAGGATAAATGAAATACTTACCTAATAGAGCTACAAGACCCTGTTGGAATCCAAGAGCGAAGCAACCATCGAAAACTGACAAAACAGAAATTTTACTAACTCCTATAGTAGTATCTTCATTGTCCATATCCATTGTTGTAGATGTTAATGAGTGTGATTCCAGCGTTTTGTATGTCATATCGACTAATGGTAACCACTCCAATGTGGTTAAAACTCCATGTATCAAAATAGATATGATGCATTTTGTTGAGCTCAGTGAACGAAAAAAGCAAACGAGGGAACGATTATGACTGATATTCACGAGTATAACAGCTAATGACTGTCTTGCTGTTGTTGAAGTATTTACAAACATAACCTTCACAATATGCCAATTACACAAATCACCAGGAGAATCTGTGACATTCTCTAACAGTTTCCTTAAATGCAGAGCAGGTATCCATGTAAACTGACGCGTCCAACTCGGACTTTCACGGAAGCATTCAACTTTATGTAAGTCATACATGCATACAGTTGCAGAAGATGAACTGAAAACTATTTGTGTGGTATTCTGTGGAGATGTACCACTTCTGCTTTTTGAGAAGGTAACTGAGCCAACAGGTTGTATGTACATTGGTTGCATGTTTATGAGAAGTTAATTAACTGTAAATTTAACATCAAGAAATAAAATGGGTAAAACATTAATGTTGCTTAGAAAACAAATTTAAAGTTATATAAATGGGGATAGTGGTTACAATTATTCTACTTTAATCACAACAAATGGAAAACTAGGTAAGCTTTCCATACAGGATAACTAATTGTATGACATCTCAGGAGTTCACCGCTCGTGGTTATATGTATATAAAATACAATGAGGTGCACTTGAATATTGCACTAGCAGGTCTAAAAGGAGAATAAATGCAAACTAAAGTGAGATGTTGCTTACATCTTGATAGAGTACGGGAACAGCCGCGATATTTTAGTGCACTTTGAAACAGCTACCATTAAACTGCCCAGTTTTCGATGTTACTTAAAGCTTATTTGGAAATCTCAGCACATATCACAAAGATATGTCTGTTTCCGACATATGACATATGGCACCAGTCAATGAAATCTACAACAGTTAGTCTAGGCCACGTAGGAAGATGTAGACTTCCTGGTTGGGGTCCTCGGGACGCTAAAAACCAATGGTTGGAAACAATTGGTGACATGGCTCAAAATCATTCTCAATGGCGCAGATGCATCCACTCCTTGTGACTTATGATTTCCAATGAAACTGTATTATTCTTCGTTATTACTATTCCTTTGTCTCACACCCCCGTTTACTGCCTCTAATATGCATTTCTCCTACTTTCTTCTCTTACTTTGTGTGCTACATGGAGTGTGGCGACTTGAACTGCTGCACATCGGTGCAAAGTTCTATGTTGAAAACTGTCTTGTCTGCCTGTTTTCGACATAGAACAGTAAATATTACTGTTTCACTGTGTGATACACCTAATAAACAAACTAATATCGAATTACTTACTACCAGAGTGCCCAAGTTTTACACATGAAATTATAAGTCACAAGGAGTGGATGCATCTGTGCCACTGAGAACGATTTTGAGAGCTGGAAACTACCAGCACACCTAGTGCTTTGAGTGAGACTTAACTGCAGAATGAGAAATACAAAAAAAACCCAGAGAACCATGATCTGTAATCACTTTTTTAGAAACTTTGTGATTCGTATAAATCCTTTATTCTGGTTCTTTCCTGAAAATCACTGATGTTAAAACTTATCTTCAACCAAATAAAATAAAAATAGAAATATGCAAAGCAGGCAAAATAAATGATATACAATAATTTCTTAAACATTTAACTGGAATCGCAAGTCATTTGATATAATTAATATTAATTATAATTAGTTCTCCATTGTGGAAAATGGTTACTGATATGTATTACAGCTTATAAAATGACTACATATCCTCAATCTTGATGAGTAAAACATATTTCTGCCAGTCACACCATTTATACCTCCTAATAAGAGAGAAATCCAGTGGAATTGTGTTTGGAGATAGTTGCAACTATGCACCATGCTACATCGATCCGAGAACCACCTTTTTCAACCATAAAATCACTTATCCAGTCTACCGACATATGAAAACAAACTTACCGTTAAGGATAGATAGCAAATTACTGGGGGACATCCAGTATTAGTAGCAGCAGACAACCAAATAACAGTGCTAAGCGACGAATTTCAAAGCAAAACCTCGACCTGACATTTTAAAATATCGCCAAGGTTAAGGCAAATCCTCATTATAAGGATAGAAAGCTCTTGTTGCTTATGTTAATCCTCCCGATATATATCTCTGCAGAGATCCAGTTTCTTTTTGAAAGCGTTCACCGATGGAGCTGTTACTGTTGTATTAGGTAAGGAGTTCCAGTCGTTGACCACTCTGTGAGAGAATCTAAATTCCACACGTATTTTATTCGACTTCGGTTTGAGCACCTTCTTGTAGTGACTTCGTAAATGTATCCTAGAGGGAAAGAAAAGGTTTGAAAGGTCAATCCCTAAATCACCCTTTAATATGCAGTAAGCTGAAATTAAGTCACCTCTCTTCTCTCGGTAATGATAACGGGAAGAGATTTAAATGCTCCATCCTCTTATCATAAGGAAGGCGTGAGATACCACTAACTAATTTCGTTCCTACCCTCTGTACTCCTTTCGGGATATGTGCCTCCTTTTTGAAGCATGGACTCACCGCTTGTACGCAGTATTCTAGATGAGGTCTGACACATGTTGCATAGGGTACTTGGAACATACCCTCGTCTAATCGTTTGAAAGCTCTTTGTAGTGCCCATAACATTCGAAAAGCCTTAACTGCGGCTCCATTACAGTATGCCGTTGTTCTTAAGACATGTCTTACAATAATTCCTCAGTCCTTTTGTCCCCTAACATCTGGCAGTTCTGTGTCCCCCAGGGAGTACGACGTGTAAAACTTCTGACATAAATGCATTACTGCGTTTCTCTTGAAATTAATTTCCAGACTTCAAAGGTTAGGCCATTCTGCTAATTTATGTGGATCGTTTTGTAGTACCAACCTATCATCATTACTACTTACGGTTTTCCATATCTTAATATCGTCCCCAAGTAGTAAGGAAGATGAGGCAAGAATTTTCGGTACTTCATTTGCGAATTATAGGAATAGCAGGGGGCTAATAACGGTTCCCTGAGGTACTCCACTTAGTACTGCTTTCCACCCTGACAGTAGACTATTAGCCTTCACCTTCTGCCTTCTATCCATCAGGTAGTCGCTGAACCACTCACATAAGCGTAGGTCTAATCCAAAATGTTTAAGTTTACTAAGAAGACCTTAATGGGATACCTTATCGAATTCTTTACTAGGATCGATAAATACAACGTCCAGTAGATGGTTTTTATCTCTGGCCTCGACCCAATCTTCCCTACCTAACAGGAAGTTTGTCAAGCAGGATCGTCCTGGACGGAATCCATGCTGTTCCACAGCCAGCAAGCCATGTTTTTCCACATGAGCTAATAGCTGATCCCTTATGAGTTTTTCTAACACCTTTGCTATAATGGAGGTCAGACTTACAGGCCGGTAGTTAGATACTAATTGTCCGTTCCACTCTTAGAAGATGGGGCTTCTAAAAGCATCATTCAAGTCCCTAGGTAGCCTAGTCTGGGTCTCCGTAATTGGAATGTACATTATATCCGCCAAGGAGATTAGTAGTGTAGGATGAAGTCCGTCAGGTCCAGGTGATTTACCTGGCTTCAGCTTAGACAGTATTTTGGGAACCACTGCATCCTCTACCACAATTGAGGGCATTTTACTGGCTACATCAGTGACCTCGCTACACCCCTGGGTGGTACGATTGGGTGAGAAAACATCGCAAAAGTATTCGGAGAACTTTTCAGCTTTTCTTTCATCTGACTTGGCCGCCTCTCCTGTATTGCAGTCTAATACAATAGTTAGCAGATAGAAGAAAGTTCGAGCAAAGGATATTCTTTTAGATAATTTATTCATCCAACTTTACACGTAGATACACGATACTCTAGAATAATTGTTAGTAACAAGACTCATGTTTTTTGGAATAATATTCACTGATTAAGATCAATGAAATACAGTTCAACAAAAATGCGTGGGTTATAATAATCATAAAAGTGTAATACTTAACTGAATATCAGATAAAATAAGGGAAATTTTTCAGCAATCAGAGAGAGTTGGAACACTTGTGGCCAGGATAAGGAAAGCGTCTAAACGAATTCTTTTGAACATATAAGTTATGCTTCTTAATAAGGATTCCGACGTCTTCAGCAGTGTTTAATAGATGAACTCATAAAATGAAGTCAAGATTAGTCGGAATTTAGCAGATAACTTCAAATGCCTTAAATAACATCAGTTTTGCGTTTGGCAAAATACTTTCTGCATATTTCTGCTTTTGTTGTAGCTACTAATGCCAAAAGTTTACACCAGTTTTTGAGAATAAAGCAAATTGTCATTATTCAGTTCACTGTAACATCTTCAAAAATCAACGTTTGAAATTTCAATATGGGATTTTTACATGCTGCCACCACTTTATACCATTTGCCATACATACAACGCTGCTACCAAATACTGTCGTGTCCCGCCAGTTCATGTGAATTTCCAATGAGGCATGCGTCTTGGTATGTGAGTTTTCATGTACTAGGAATTATGTCAGATTCTTGGTGCTAGTTTGTGATCCGTTAGCATGTTTTGCCCCTAAAAATCCCCGAACTTACCAGTTCCTCATGACTATATGTGTGTTAGAATTTTGATCCATTTTCGATGGCCATTTGTATCTCTTTGGCAAACGCCCTCTATTCGTGTAGAATAACACTATCAAGGAGGCAAAGTGTGATGTCTGAACCAGGCTGAACTTACCATGAATACTAAAGTCACTCAGTAGACGGCTATTAATAAAAAGTCAACAGGCGGAGGCAATACCTTCATTATGATTTTCATTTGTTTCCTTTCTTGATAGAATATTACTGAAGAATGAATGCCCTTTCGTTGGCTTTCAGTTTCATTTGCCCACTACTGTGCCTAAAATATACACGTCCAACATTAACTGCTATCTGCAAACCTATTAAGCGCTATTGACAGGTGTCTTTAGGACTATTTTGATATTAAAGTCGATTATCAATGCATAACTGTTGACTGCTTGTCCTATATCATCATTTTAGCTACCGATGCTCATTTACTCCTTGTCTGTGGTATTCCTTAGGCTAATACTCTGTTTACAATCCTCTGGGTGTCAGTTAACATCTTGCTTTGCCATATCAACTGTCGGGATAACTGCTTCTTAATAAGAAAATCGGACATAAATTCAATTCGCTACATGCTACCAAGTGGCAGTTGATAAAGTAGGCTGCGTTTTAACAGGTAGTACTTAACCGTGTGGGAATTCAGACCAGATGGCTCAGCATTTCATTTGCCAATGTGTGACATGCTTAATATTTCACAAAAGGTTAGCAACTGGTGGCGTTCACGTGACCTATAGTATGATAGATAGGAAAAATATATATAAATCCTCTCCATGTATTTTCGTCAGCAGGATGCAGAAGGGCGACCAAACAGTCGACATATTTTCAAAAGGAATAATACCTGTAGAACCAGGCCTG